CCTAGCCTAGCCTAACCTAGCCTAACCTAACCTAACCTAACCTAACCTAACCTTACCTAACCTAACCTAACCTAACGTAACCTAACCTAATCTCACCTCACCTCACCTCACCTCACCTCACCTCACCTCACCTCACCTCACCTCACCTCACCTCACCTCACCTCACCTCCACCTAACACACACACACACACACACACACGCACGCACGCACGCACGCACGCACGCACGCACGCACGCACGCGCGCACGCACGCACGCACGCGCGCACGCACGCACGCACCTCCCTGGAGTCACCCTCTTACATGGGACGTCAGAGCTGGCTGCAAGACACGGACATGGGTCATACGGCGGTGCGTTCAGTCCCAGACCCTGCGGTGTGCGCGGGCCCTGTAGTTTGTGGTTTCCTCCATTGCCATATTTCCACCTTAAATGGAACTTAAACACGAAACGACTGAAGAGTGCAACATGGCCGGAAGAGTTTTGGGGCTAGAAAGACACATAGCGGGTTCCGTGCGTCGGTGCACTGGTTATAGAGATGCATATCATAATGCCGACGACAGGCTCGGAATGCCTATCGTGATTGGCTCGCTGACGGCTGGTTGATTGCCCTGCTGCCGAGTCCTTTCATTCATGGACACGTCAGCCATTTTGAGAATCCCATTCGTTGACGGCAGCAGCGAATGTTGAGGATGATCTCCGTTAAATGGAACGTTGTTGATATTAACATCTCAGTTATGAACGTAAGCGATGAACGCGCAATTGCACATGGTGCACATGGGCCGTATTCGCTTTGAATTGTACCATTTTACTTATCACTCCTATACTGATGGCAACAGTTCTTAATGCAATACTATGCTATCTACACGTCGTGTTACTGATGAGCAATTCAAGCCATGTCAGTCGAGCGCTGTAGCGCAGCCGTAAACTGACCACTCCAGTAAAGTAGGCAGTGTGAGCAGCTTCGACTGCGTATAATATTTCAACGGTCCTCATGCACGTTACCAGTACTTCTAACATTGCCACGTGGTTGAACTTACGTTGGACCTAGCAAAAGCCAGATTAGCAATGTTGCACAATGTGTTTTGGGAATCTAGACGTAATTGGGTAACATTGCGGTCTTGTCTTGCCACACCCCTTTAAGGCGTTTACCCGTAATGTGGAGCGCTTGGCGCGTACCGTGCTCATTCCAAGTCCGTTTTGGTCCGCTGAAAGAAATTATTGACAGCCCGCGATGGGTTAATGGTCAGGTGATAATGCGCATTCGCTCCGAATGGTGAAATAGTCCGGCTACTCTATCACGAATAACCTCCATTCATTATATTCGACGCTGTTTATTATGCCGCCACTGACCATGGCTGGATTTTGTATTACTGGTGAGTAGCAGAGCATCCCTGAGCGGCTGTGACACTCATTATATATATATATATATATATATATATATATATATATATATATATATATATATATATATTCCTCATTGCTTATCGAACCTAATACATGATGTAACACACCATATTTTAGTTTTACACATGCGCTTTGTAGTTGTTCCAAACCCTGGCCACCGTTCTCTTTCCCATTGGTGTATTTTGCCGAGGCCTGCCGTAAATAATGCCCTCTTTGACTGTTGACAGCTCAACACGCAGCTGTGGGCTCAACTGACATGCTCTTGTCAGACAGTTGTGCGCTATGGGGAGGTCGCCTTAAGGAAATGGCGATTACGTAGGTTGGAAGTTCAGCGCACAAAACTTGATTTCGTATCCACAGCAATGTCTCATGACGCCATGACGCAATGTCTCATGACGCCATGACGCAATGTCTTATGACGCCATGACGCAATGTCTCATGACGCCATGACGCAACGTCTCATGACGCCATGACGCAATGTCTCATGACGCCATGACGCAATGTCTCATGACGCCATGACGCAATGTCTCATGACGCCATGATGCAATGTCTCATGACGCCATGACGCAATGTCTCATGACGCCATGACGCAATGTCTCACCGCCGTCACGGAAGAGCTTACAAACGTGCCGGCATTGCGCCCGCAACAGTCGTCCGGTATGGCGCTGTCTTCTGCGACATGCGAGGGTCAGTGTTCGTTAAAGGGAGTGTGCCACCTTTGGTGCATACTTTAAAAAAAAAACTCAGGTGAAAGCTCCTGACCAGTTACGATTATATCTAATGGTAACGCCGGAGATTGTCACCGCAGTACCAACAAGATGGAAGGACGGCCTTCTTTTAATCATTTTGTTTTGTCCATATAACGCAGTCAGTGTTTTGGTACAGCATTAGGCTCTTTCTTTGTAACCCCATGTTTTATTTCTGGAGTGGGAGATCTTGGAACATGCAAGACAATTAAGTGAGACATTTATGATGTCCTCTGCGACTGTGCGCCCTGTGAGCTGGAATTTCACATCAATCTCGCTCAGCATTCGCTTGAACATTGGAATGATCAAGAGAAAAAGCTATCTGGGATCTAGCCATTTACAGATAAGCGCATTAGTGTAAGTTTGAACATGTATGTCACGAGGCCGTGTGATATGTCGCTGGTATATACTTGTTTTGAAGACAGCCTCACAAGTTGAGATAAACTGAGCATCTACGTAAACAACATTTATCAAGGCCAAAGTGCCCTCAGAAAAGGTCGTTTTCTTGAAAACCATAGGGAGAGGGGGGGGGGGGGATGAAGACTTAAGGATGACGTCTCGTTGTATTCGTCTGATACTTTCATGGTATCTGTATGTTTTTTTTTTCTCTGAGTAGTTTTTTAAGCTCTCACACCATTTATTGCAGAATTATTCTGACCTGTTATTCGATTGCGACCAGAACATAGCACCTATGTTGGCAAATACAAAGCCAACACAAATTATTACCTCCATAGTGGTGAGCGATGAGTCCAATGGCCTTCCACCCTTAACACGCGCTCGGGTAGGGGTCAAATTGACCCCCCAAAGGTTTTTCCAGAATGGTTTCCGAACGACGCGGTGTAGCCGTGCCAAATTTTGCATAGCTGTAGACAATTGAATAGCGGATCGTTTAACGTAAACAATTTATACGTACTGTGTAAGGTCGCTGACATGTGGCAGGTCAAAGTCAGGCCATGGTTTCAGCGAAGGCAATTTCTAGGGAATCGTCCAATCTGATACAATAACGGAGAGTTTGACGAAGCCATACATCTCTTAGATGCTTTCTTAGGCACCACAAATATTGAATAAGCAAATTATGTTGACCTAAGGTCGGGTATAAAGGTTAGACCAAGGTCAAAGCAAACCTGATGTCTTATTTTAGGGGTTGCTGCATGGGATAGTTTGTGGTGCCCACTTCGAATTTATTGACAGCAGGAACCGCATCACATGTCTTTCATTGACTTCTCAGAGCCCAGGACTGGTTATTGACCTAAGATGACCCGGGTCGATATTTTGTTTTGGAAACATACTGCCTTGTCTAATCTTTGTCGCTTATTCAAATGTAAAACTCAGGGCAGCCTTGTATGATTTTGGTCACCATGACTTTCAAAAGGTTAAACAAGGTCACTGACCTCAAAGGGGCTTGTGAACTTTTGCTTAGAAACGGTTGCCTAGGTTCTGGGGCGCTTTGGAGACCAACCTGGAAGTTGACCTTGTCTGGCCTTATTCAACCTCAAGGTCATGACATAGGAAGCTGAAACCATGACCTAAGTGAGTTCACGTACAGGTCAAGACACCCTGTATATTTGGTGTCTATCTCTTTTAGTTCCCAAGATCTCAGGGGGTTCTATGTGACCCCCTCTCACCCGAGCGATGGGTATCTAGCCGGCCGCCCGGGCACGTGTTAAGAGAGGCTACTTCAAGTCGAAATTCTAACCTCTAAATTTTTTTTGCATAGCTGTAGACAATTGAATAGCGAATCCTTTAGCATCAGAAATTTAGATGTACCTGGTAAGGCCGCCGACCGATGTGAGGTCAAAGTTATGCCATGGTTTCGGCAAAGGCAGTTTGTAGGGAATCCTTCAATCTGATCCGACAACGGAGTGTTAGACAAAGCCATACATCTCCGAGATGCTTTCTTGGGCAACACAACAGTTGAATGAGCAAATTACATTGACCAAAGGTCAGGTATGAAGGTCACACTAAGGTCAAAACCAACCTGTTATGTTACTCTAGGGCTTGCTGTATGGGATCGTTTCTGGTGCTCATTTCGAATTTATTGATGGCAGAGACCGCATTATACATATTTCATGGGCTTTTTAGAGGTCAGAGTGGGTCATTGACCTAAAATGACCCAGCTCAACGTTTTGTTTTAGGAACATACTGTCTAGCGTAATCTTTGTTGCTTGGTCAAATGCAAAACTCAGAACAATCTTGCATGATTTTGGTCACCTTGACCTTAAAAGGTCAAACGAGATCACTGACCATGAATGAGCTTGTGACCTTTTGCTTAGAAACGGTTATCTAGGTTCTGGGGGCACTTTGGAGACCAACCTGGAGCTTTACCTTGTTCGACCCATTTTGACCCGAAGATCATGACCTAGAAATCTGAAATTTTGACCTCAGTGAGTTCACGTACAGGTTAACACATTCTGTAAATTTGGTGTCTCTAGCCTTCCTAGTTCCCGAGATCTTAGGGTTTCAAGTTGACCCCCCACCCGAACGAAGGTTATGTAGCCCGGTGTTAAGGCCAAGCAACATATAATTGTCGAGGTGTTCATATCTGGCGTTCGTGAGCGCGACGTCCCGATATAACGGCCGTGAATTGGCTCTCAATGTTGTGCCAGGTACGATGACGTCATCAAACAATGGCGCATTGAACAGCATATTTACTCAACAGAGAATTGTGGTGTCAAGAGCAGTCTTTTTGACTTAAAGGTAAACCAATGGTTAACAGGGAGCTTGTTTCATAATATGTGATGCTTGCTTCAATATGTTCAAAAGTGAAACATTCCCTGCAGTGTAAGGTTGTGAGACGACTAGCCAGCGCGGCACACTCACCAGTCTTTCAACTTGCGCGACCTTGTTTCAGACCTTGTCACCAAGCTGGCGGCTTGCAGCATGTCCTGAACGACCTACCGTGACCTTCGGCGCATGTCACCATGTTCGAGGGCGTGGTGTCGTACTTGCTCAACAAGTACCTGAGCAAGTACATCGATAACCTGGACACGGACAGCCTGAACATCAGCGTCTGGAGTGGAAATGTCGAGCTCAAGGATCTCGAGCTCAAGCCAGAGGCCCTGGTAAGTTCAGTTCTGCTGTCGCCGGGACTGCCTGCCGGCCGTCAGTTGGCAACCTTTTGTTTGATGGCAGGCCGCATGTTAATAGCTGAACCGCTCGTGTGTGGAAGGAAGCCATTTATCGTCAGATGGTCACTGGTCTTTGGGTTGAGTGCGCAGGCCATCAGCCGTGCATCCGTCTTGGCGGGCGCAGGCCCTCAGCGTAGTTACTGCGTTCGCTGGAAGGTTAGCCAGGTTGCGTCGTGAATTCGCCGTAACTGTCGTCAATATGATACGTACTACGTCGGCAAACACGACCATTCGAAGTAAACCCATACTACGCCTGGATAATCGCAGCAAACGGCTGGCGTCGTGCGACAAACCGGTCGGCTGGACTGTATCTGCGACGTCTGACCTTTGCACCCGATCTGTTTGTCGGCGTGTCGTGCGGCCCGTGCCGGATATAGCTGGTCAGCAGTCGGCGTGTCGTGCGGCCCGTGCCGGATAGAGCTGGTCAGCAGTCAGCGTGTCGTGCGGCCCGTGCCGGATATAGCTGGTCAGCAGTCGGCGTGTCGTGCGACCCGTGCCGGATAGAGCTGGTCAGCAGTCGGCATGTCGTGCGGCCCGTGCCGGATAGAGCTGGTTAGCAGTCGGCGTGTCGTGCGGCCCGTGCCGGATATAGCTGGTCAGCAGTCGGCGTGTCGTGCGACCCGTGCCGGATAGAGCTGGTCAGCAATACTGCAGTGTCGGCAACCGGCACTGATCTCTCCGACTTCTCCCCATGCTGCGTCTGGTCTTTGTTGATGTTTTTTCCGGACATTTCCGCAGTACAGTGCTGCTGCGTTTACTGTTTGGCGCAGCACGACTTTGTTAGCAGTATGGCTCATCCGGTGTGTGTTTGTGGGTGCAAGCTTTTGTGTTTTCATTTGTTTAGTAGTGAGATTGGAATCCCGCCGTGACGTGCTGATGGTGCGTCGTCAAGTGGTCAGGCAATTATAAGCCAACCACTGCTCACCGCTGGTGGAGCATTGGCATTATCATGCTGAACGCAGACGAAACCGCACGACGTAAACAATTTCGTTCATATGCCTCCAACAAGAAATCTTACGAATATATCCGCAAGTCTTCATTTGCTTACAGTTAATCGTTAAGCTTCCAATGGTAAAGTTATTGTAGGCATACTCTGGAAGCGACTGCTGAACAAGAGAGGTGGAAGCTAACTGTTGGAAGGAAGAGAGGTGGTAACGGCATGCCTTTTCACAAAATTTTCAGCGCGAAATGATCGCTATAGTCGACACACCCGAAAACCAAAATATCGTCACCATCTTTAGTGTGTCTGCAGTCCGCGGAACCAATCTGCACGACTTGGCCAGCTATATCACCCTGTGTCACGTAAAGTACCATGAGCAGTTCAACTACCACGACACTTCATGTATGTTTGGATGCTCGCAGGCAGGGTAACTTCACAAGGCACCAAGGTCGGCAGGCAAACTGAAATATAAATTACCGAGCTCGTATGACGGGCTGAACGTTGTGGGCGGAACCTGATCTTCCTTTCCCCCTCCCCATCGATGGGCGTAGCTCGAGGTTGCTGCCGTTCTTCATCTCTCCTCTCCCACCAGACCTTAGGGTAGGGCCGTAACGACCACCACTTCCCCAGGTCACATCGAATGCCGTAAGCTAGTGACCCGGTGCCAAATCACACTCCCCCGTGTGACCGGGCTGTGACCGGACTGGAAGCTATCGACTGCACCTTGTCTGTGTACCGTCACCGCTGGTCAGCCCGTGACCCGCACCTGACCCGCCCCGCCCCGCCCCGCCCCACCCCGCCCGCCACCAGGCCGGCCTGGAGCTGCCGGTGGCCGTTACGCGCGGCTCTGTGGGCCGCATCGCTCTGGCCGTGCCCTGGACCAGCCTGTGGAGCAGCCCGCTGGTGGTGACCGTCGAGGGCGTACTGGTGCTGGCTGGCCCGGTGGCGGCGCGACCCTACGATGCTCAGCTCGAGCGACGACTGGCACGCGCCGCTAAACGCGCGATCATCGCCCGGCTCGAGCGCGACGACGCCATACCAGGTCAGGGCTGGGGGGAGCTGAGGTCAGCGCTGGGGGAAGCTGAGGTCAGGGCTGAGGAAGCTGAGGTCAGGACTAGGGGAAGCTGAGGTCAGCGCTGGGAGAAGGTGAGGTCAGGGCTGGGGGAAGCTGAGGTCAGGGCTTGGGGAAGCTGAGGTCAGGGCTTGGGAAAGCTTAGGTCGGGGCTGAGGAAGCTGAGGTCAGGACTAGGAGAAGCTGAGGTCAGGGCTGGGAGAAGGTGAGGTCAGGGCTGGGGGAAGCTGAGGTCAGGGCTTGGGAAAGCTGAGGTCAGGGCTTGGGAAAGCTGAGGTCAGGGCTGAGGAAGCTGAGGTCAGGACTAGGAGAAGCTGAGGTCAGAGCTGGGAGAAGGTGAGGTCAGGGCTGGGGGAAGCCGAGGTCAGGGCTTGGGAAAGCTGAGGTCAGGGCTGAGGAATCTGAGGTCAGGACTAGGAGAAGCTGAGGTCAGGACTGGGGGAAGCTGAGGTCAGGGCTTGGGAAAGCTGATGTCAGGGCTGAGTAAGCTGAGGTCAGGGCTGGGGGAAGCTAAGGTCAGGGCTGAGGGAAGCTGAGGGCAGGGCTTAAGTAAAAGTCAGGGTCAGGTCAGGTCGGGAGGGGTGACGACTGGGGATCGAGTCGCCGGAGCGGACGGCCAGACGTGGGGGCAGAGGCCGTCGCCGTAGTCAATAAATGGATAGCATGGGTGAATACGAAACACGATGCAATGCTCGTAAATCTCACTGGACATGACATGCGTCGGGGTTCAAGCAAGCGGTTAGCCCTGCGTGACCCAGCTACATCTGTCCTTCAGAACGCGGACCGGAGCCCATCCCCGCGGTTCTAACGCATGGGTCCGCCCCGGGTGTGGCCGCTCTCCCTCCGTCCCGAGGGGCTCAAAGTCGGGCCGACCTGAGCGGACCGCGCAGTCTGCGGCCCGGCGCGGTCGATGGCCGGGCGCGGCGCCAGGCTGGGCCGATTCGGGCCGCTGGATCGGACTGCGGGGTCAGGATCAAGGGGGTCGGACGAACTTTATCGCCCGCGTGCCCTCCCACCGCACGTGGCCAGGGAGGTTGTGCTGGACGCGGAATCGTACGGGAAAACCGGTGTGTCTGTGCTCTTAGGCCTGCATGCGTGCGATGTGAAATTGATGACGTTGTCATTGTGCTCCACTGCTTCTAGAAATCAAATGAGGATCACATGGACTACTATATTGTGAGAGTTTATGTATGATAGCTAAATTGTGTCAGTTGCGTAGATCTATTCTGGACGTCTTTTCACGAATGTGGGATGAGCCAGCGCCAGCGCAGTTCTCGACATGGACACGGACTTATGCTCATTGTAACCAGCAAGACGACTCGTGTGACTTGGGAGGAGCGAGACGATAGCAGACGTGAGAGCTACCAATTGCCATCATGTGGATGACACCAGAAGCTAAGTCTATGGAGTCAAACGCGTTTGGCAGCTCATACCAATAGGATTAATCATCGAGCTGGAGTGTCCGCTTTCCGTGCGGGTTTGGCAGGCGGAGGCCTGCTGACGTCGCTGTCGCTCGCTTGTTCATACCTAACGTTGCGCGAACATTGACGGGGTATGAGTTTGGGCAGACCCGACAATTTCGGTGCAGCGGATACAATCGATGCATTTGCTGTGTTCGACGGTTCAATAGCTTACGTTTACGGTTCAGCAATTGCCAAAGTTTGGTAGTTGGGAACAAAGTCTAATGAAGAGCGCAATTGTTTTGGGTAAAGCTGGTCTTCAGTAAACAGAACCGGATGTCTTGCGGCCACAGTACAGATAATCAGCCCCCTTCAAATGTTTCACGCGTCTAAAATTATCAAAAGAGGTACAAGTATTTGCCCTTAGGCCATTGGCGGGTTGACCTGATCCGTAGTTGCCATGATGTCGAGTTTAAACCCCAGCGTCTTGCGCTCGACATTGGTTTTGGAAATCGTGACATTGATCGCTTTCGGGTCAATTCATGGCGCATCTGTGAACCGGGTAGCTGCGTGATCCGTTAATGAGTTGCAATCGGTAGTTTCCGACACCGTGTTTTACGCCTGTATCGCTCTGGGCCCTATCCGACATCAGTCTCTAATACCGCCCCAAGACGGATGTATCCATGTTTTGCGCGCGAGAGCGCGTCAGCATCGTGACACGTCGACCCACCATTACGCGCCTTCTCCTCTGTCAGCTTCTGGTAGTCTAGGTCCCCTCCTGTGACTCTCTAGTCTAGCAACATCGACGTTTGCCAGATCCACAGTTAGTACGTTGGCACTTGCGTGATCAGCTTTTTACCGGATATTGTAAGGGGTCTGCCGTGTTTTATAAGCTGTCGCGTTTCTTCACCCTGTGCTGTCATGTGTTTATCTCGACGTCGCGTATCACCGATCTGCCGTGCCGCTCCGCAGCCGGTGACCAGCCGCCAGGCTTCTTCGGGCGTCTGGTGGCGGCCATCCTGAAGAACGTGCAGGTGTTCGTCAACAACATCCACGTGCGGTACGAGGACGCCATCTCCAGCCCCGGCTGTCCACTGGCTGGCGGCGTCTGCATGCAGAGCATCTCCGCCGAGACCACCAACAGGTTAGACCGCCGCCGCCACCGCTGCCGCCGCCTTTGGCAGGCGGTGTTTGTCGCTGACACGAGGGATGCTTCGGAAAACGTTGTTTTCGCGTTGGCGTTCGTTTTCGCCACACGGTTTAGTTTTTCAATGGGCGTGGAAGTTGTGCGGGAAAGACGTGGAGCCTTGGGTAAACGCAGACTGTACCTAGGCTGGAGCTTCACCCATCTCCGTACATAATGTCGGTCCGATGGTTGTAAATAATAACGCTCAGTCTCGGGCGAAACTGGCACTTTGCAGTACATTAGCGAGATGCTGTTCATTGCGTCATTTGAGCGAAGCTCCATGTGAGCATCTCTGCATCGGTGAGTGATGAGTGCTGAAGTCCCTCGCCAGATGACGGCGTTGGCCGCGATTGGGTGCGGATGGCTAGTGCTGCAAATGATGAGGTGGTCAGAATGAAACTCGATCCGTATGATGGACGTGATTTCTTGGCGTCTTCCCATAATAAATGCAGATTACCGGCGTAGCCATGAGGATGCCGGTGGTGGCAGGATGATCACCAGTCATGACCCCCGGAGTTTAAGGCTGGATATCAAGGGGTGTGGTGATGGGGACTTCTGTTGTTTTATTAGTGTCGCTGCGTGTTTTCTTACATGATTGACTTATTTTGATGTTTTGGCCGCATAATTACGGTCCACTGCGCTTGTGGTGTTTTTCTCAAGATTCAGCTTAATTTGCAGTTTAAACTGCTCGTTGAGCTGTCTTTGTGAAGCTTTATGTTTTTAACATGCATTTCATGGCTTAAGATATCCTTACTCGACGCAATAGCTGTATGGCATGCACATCATTGATATGTTGTATCACGCGCCGTATCTTGCATTCATTTTCACGGGCGTAAGTCTTAAGACAAGGACCGTTTCTTCAGTCGCATGGCACGTTTTTGTGCGCATGCTTCCCTAACGAAATCACGCCCTGTTCGGCGTGCTCTAGGATACACCCCTTACCGCATCGCCCCACCTCCTCGGCAGCAAATGGAAGCCGGCGCAGGCGGCCGCCGACGCCACCAGCATCTTCAAGCTGGTGCGGCTGGAGTCGCTGTCAGCCTACTGGAACGCCTACTGCGAGCAGCCGCCGCTCGACTCGGAGGAGCTGGCCGCCGACTGGAGAGAGATGATGGCCGACACGCTCAACACGTTCGCCCTCAACGACGAGCGGCTGGACTTCTGTGAGTGCGCCGCCCGGCCGAGGCCTCGCCGCTGTGGTGCGGCGGGGAGTGGCGCCTCGTCATCCGGATGACCTACCTACACAAACCGGAGCGTTTCACTGGCGAACGAACACCGCTTGTGGCGCTGGTTGTCGCCGTGTTGGCATACGTGTACGTTTTTGTATAGTTCATTGCAATACGTACGTGATGCTCTTTCTGTTTCACGGTCGTAGAACATAAAGTTCAGTTGTTTGCAGCTTGAATGAACAACTCAAAGGGCCTTGTTTGATGTCCGTGTTGATAGTAGCAATACCATGCGCAGGTGCAGCACCGTAAAAACAAAAATGCTTCCTTACAACGTATGCGCGCATTGACAGTCACCGCCCCACTCCCAACGCCTCCAGTGGTGAAGCCGCTGTCGGCCAAGCTGAAGGTGATCCTGAACCTGTCGCCGGAGCAGCTGGTGCCCCGCCTGCTGGCCGATCTCGTGCTGCAAGACACGAGCGTGCAGCTCTCTCGGCAGCAGTACCTCAGCCTCATCAACGTCACAGAGAACTTCAGCCGCATGAAGGTCAACAGGTCAGCGCCCTGCGCGCCGGCGCCGGTGCCCGCCCGTCTTTGTTGGGGGCTCTACAACATCATGTGTTTCGCTGCGTCGCGTCTTCACGACGGATGCAGTCGTGTCAGGTGTCGTGTCTCCCTTAATCTCTTCTTCAGTTAAGAAAACGAGCGGATAATTCTTCTTTGCGTCTTGGCAACTCTCTTCGCGGGTTTGTTGTCCATTTTCGTGATGGTGTGCATGTCAGAGAAGCTGCTGGCTCTCTTCCCCAGCCGATATCGCAAGTATAAACCACCGGTAGAGCTTCACGGAAACGCTTCCAAATGGTGGAAATATGCGATGACCAGCGTGCTGGAGGAGCTCATCCGTCCATATTCCTGGCAGAGGATCGAAGCACACAGGTACTGTATGTTACTGTGGTTTAAATTGACTTCAGTATCGGGCACTGATGGGGTTCGACGCTGAAAGGAAGAAAAAATAGTCCTTTATCCAATATCGTTTCATCGAATTGGTGCATTTCACACAATGTTTGCACATATATATATATATATATATATATATATATATATATATAGCTTTACAGATTGTAAAAGGCGCTGGGTCACCGTTGTCCCCGATGGACTAGAAAAGGTTTTGGTTCAGTGACCGCGATAAGCTTCTAAAAATGTCGGTCTCCATAATTTCATTTAGAGGTTGCCTTGGAGGGCGGCTACCAGGCGTCAGACCCATCGGTATCTGGCCCTTGCAATCCGGACTTCCAGCCCGCAATACCGATAATCACGCACCTGTCATCAGCGCCTCCCGCAGTGGAGACCAATAATAAAGCCGTGCGCTCGTAACAAACCTTTTCCACAATTTGCAGCGAAGGCAAATATAGAACAACTCTATAGTTAGTTGATGAGTGGCAAAGGCTTGAATGTACCAGCAAGCTTGACCGGTGTATTCTGCGGCTCTTGGCAAGCGACCTTGATACGGCACCGAATGACCTGTGTCAGATCAGGCATGCGAGCTCCGCACGCCGGCGTGACCTGCCGACTTGACCTGACGGTCCTGCGCCCTGGCGTGGCTGGTCTCGCCTCGGTCTGGGCGACACAGTCAGCTCCGCACGCCGGCGTGACCTGCCGACTTGACCTGACGGTCCTGCGGTCCGGCGCGACTGGTCTCGCCCCGGTCTGGGCGACACAGTCAGCTCCGTGCGCCGGCGTGACTTGCTGACCTGACCTAACGGTCCTGCGGTCCGGCGCGGCTGGTCTCGCCTCGGTTTGGGCGATACAGTCATCTCCGTGCGCCGGCGTGACCTGCTGACCTGACCTGACGGTCCTGCGCCCTGGCGTGGCTGGTCTCGCCTCGGTCTGGGCGACACAGTCAGCTCCGCACGCCGGCGTGACCTGCCGACTTGACCTGACGGTCCTGCGGTCCGGCGCGACTGGTCTCGCCCCGGTCTGGGCGACACAGTCAGCTCCGTGCGCCGGCGTGACTTGCTGACCTGACCTGACGGTCCTGCGGTCCGGCGCGGCTGGTCTCGCCTCGGTTTGGGCGATACAGTCGTCTCCGTGCGCCGGCGTAACCTGCTGACCTGACCTGACGGTCCTGCGGTCCGGCGCGGCTGGTCTCGTCTCGGTCTGGGCGACACAGTCAGCTCCGTGCGCCGGCGTGACCTGCTGACCTGACCTGACGGTCCTGCGGTCCGGCGCGGCTGGTCTCGCCTCGGTCTGGGCGACAGTCAGCGAAGCGCTTAAGGCGCAGTTCCGAGGCGGCCACATTCTGAGGGGTTTTCCGGTCAGCCGACTGCCAAACTTTGAGCTGGTGCCGTGATTCCGAATGAATGAGGCGAGGCAGTTATCAGAGGTTATATTCCGGGGAGCTGTATGCTACTGACTGGGTCATTTTTGCCGAAGCGGGAAAATGAGGCAGGGATCCAGTGCGAAATAGCAGCTTTGATTGGAATGCGGAACCGTGGAAGAAACGATCATTGCCTTACCAAGCTTGCAAGGGTTGTGCGAGATGGGTATAGGTGTGTGTGGGGTAGGAGGGGGAGGAGGGGGGGGGGGGGGATGGAGGAATGGAGGCGGGCAAGCTGCGCCAGAGGGGACTTGCAGCGGCACCCGTCGTGTAGCGAGCTAGGCGATTAGTTTCACGGAACGCTGTGAAGGTATCCTCTGTCTGCTAACACACACGTGGACGACGTTGGCTTTGCGAACTCCGATACCCAGGTCACGGAGAAGCCAAGTTCAAGGAATATTGGTGACGCCGGAGGAGCAGTGAAGTTTGCTGCCAAAGGCGGGGGGACGTGGTTGTAGCGGCCTGTTGCGCAAACCGGAGGATGAAACTCGCGCTAGACGGTCTTTTATGTGTTGTGGTTAGCTTTAGCTAAAGAGCTTAAAGTCACTTAAAGTCCGAATCCTTTTGTATTCTTATTCTAGAAACAACGGACCATCAGTATACTGAGAGGTCTGGGTTGGGAACAGTTATCAGTAGACCAGTGCAAATTCCACAGAAACGGTCTCTGCCTTTTAGCTGCTCCACAATGGACGTTATATGGCCCGAAGGTAATAACGCCACAAACCCTGAATCCTAACACTAGTTACCACAGCGTCGCTCCCAAAGACACAGCGTGACATGAAAATAGGGATAATACACTGTCTAGCAACAATACCATTCTACTGTCACGACGATTTTAACTCACTCCGTGGTTCAACTCGCATTAGTCAAAAGATCACTGCAATTTGTCGTTCCATGCGATGGGATAGCCTACCAAGGAACCCGGAAGTCTCGACTGATCCCAAAGCGCCATTGTACTGCGCCCGTGTCCCTTCACGGATCCGCGTCCTCGACAGGAACAAGTACCGCGAGTATCGTGCGCTGTACCTGACCTTCTTGGAGGGGCCGACCCGGGAGGTGGAGCTGCTGGAGCCGCTGGCGCAGCTGGAGGACGGCCTCGATGCCACCGGCATCCTCCTGGCCAGGGAGGAGGCCAAGATGGAGGTGACGTACCCAAGGGCATGTCCACGGAGAACACGAGAAAACGGAGATTATTTGATGGAGCGTGTTTGGGAGGTGGCTGAGATTGTTTGAGTGATGGTATTATTATTTCAATGCCCACATCGCTTTTGTTTTCATTCCTAGGTTGATGCGAATAATTCTTGATCCGCGCGGCTGGATTTATGGGAAAGTAAGGATGTTTGTTCACAGCTACTCGCTATGTGGCCTGCTGCAGAGTTTGAAGCTCGTTAGGAGGAGTGTTGCGGCGCCATTGACTGGCCTCCCGTAATTTGGAGCATAATATCCTACCTTAGTGTTTGATGCTCACTGCGCTCGTTCTCCAGTGCAGGGAGCATGGTACGCCTGACTGCAAAACCAGATTACTTTGCTCTTGGGTGGATCCATGTCGAGGACATACCGTCGTAAACCCTCCCTTTTGCCCTCTTTTTCTCATACTGGCTACGGCAACGTTTGATACAATGCTCTGTAAGGTACCATGCAGCCCGCCTCCGTCAGCCGCTGCCGCCTGCGGGGAGCGGACAGACGCGAATGCCGCGTCGGCCGCTGCTGGCGGCGGTGGGCGACACTCGGTGACGTCACCGCGCATGTTTGACAGCTGGCGCGGCGCCAGTCGGCGACCGAGTCGGCCGGGCTCGACGAGACGGGCGGCTGGTGGGGCTGGCTGACCGGTGGCGCCTCTGGTGACGACGGCGCCACTCAGCCGGCTTCGGCACGCGGCTGGACCGTCTGGAGTCAGCTGACGCCCAAGGAGAAGAAGCAGCTCTACGAGAGCATTGGCATGCGAGATGAGGACGAGGCCGAAGACACGACCGACCTGCCTACCAACTACATCAGTCAGTGTTGCTCTTGCGCACGTCGTCGCTCATCGCATACGCGCCTAAACTTAGAAGCCAACGTTCCACCGTTATCACTTATTGGGGTTTAAGCCGCAACGCGCTTTATAATTGAGATGGTTGTGGCATCAGCTCGCAGGGCTGAAACTGAGGGCAGCATAATGCCTCGGAGTCGTAGGTGGCCGGATGGTCTTTCATTCCTTATCCGTGATGGAATGCACCTAAAAGGTCAGAGGAGGGAAATGCGTCGACCGCCGACAAGCGTGGTATTATGAGGTTCTGTCAGTGTCGGATCACTTCCATGACGTAAAATGCCCTCATCAGGCGTGCCATATACCCCTGCTCCCCCTGTTCTTTAGTTTAGCGGAGCGTCAAGTGATCGCCAGCTGCGACGGCACTTAACACACATTCTCCCGCCCATATCTTTCGTGCCTGCCGTCATCACCAGACGTGACGTCATCTAATGCACTCAACCTGTCGTATTTCTCGAGGCTGGTGTCCTCATGGTGTATGATACAGCCCGAAGCCCCCGTGCCACCCTTCACCCGCACCATTTTTGCCCCCGACGACACTTCTCATCTCCAGCGCGTGACATACACGGCGGCGCTCCTCCGCCGGCAGGGCACAAGCTGAACGTGACGCTGGCCAACCTGACAGCGGCGCTGCTGGCGCGTAACAGCGAGGTGCTGGTGGCGTCGGCTAGCCAGCTAGTCAGCTCGGCGGAGACGCGACCGGCCCAGCGCTCCGTCCGGCTCTCGGCCAGCACCCAGAGTCTGCTGGTGGAGGGCACCAGTCTGGAGCGGGACCTCGTGCCTGTGGTGTCTCTGGCTGATGTGCACGGTACGGCGTGGCGCGGACGTAGGGATGTTGATGCGCGGTGGCATTCACGCGGGGCGGCATTTACGCGCGTAGGACATGCAGTATACGGTTACACACAGAAGGCATTCGCCTGTCGGAGCCACACACGGCAAGTCGAGATCGAACGATGGGGTTCTAAGATTAAGTTTTAAGGTGTTGAAAGCTTTAGATTACGCTTTTGGCTGTTGTAAGGTGGTGTGCGTATATTTTATCTTCTATGGTTGCTGCTCAAGTCGTAAAGTATGTCGTGGATTTAACGTCATTTGTAAGCTCACAGCGATGTCATTTCTTATTCTGTGGTGATCCAGCGAAACGCGATGTTATACCGCAGGCGTGACCAGTTCTGTTTTCTTCAGAGAGTGACCACCAGCCAATGTTTTCGCTCGACTTCGAAGTGAACCCACCGGCTGCCGACTTTGGCCTGACTGTGAAGGTGTCGCCTGTGGAAGTGGTCTACTCTGAGGTAAGAACTGCTGGGGCGCGTTCGATGCGCATCCAAATGGTAGTGTTTAACTGTTGACAGAGCATGTCTCCATTCGGCGCCGTGCCTATGGTAGATTATACAGCTTTACATATATACAACATTACAACGCTAAACGTGTTTATCGATGGCTTATGTGAAATGGCCATGTTTTCTGGACACTCTTCTGTCACTACTCATTGGAGTCTTGCCCATCTTCTGGGTACTGGATGGCATCTTCCCTACAGGAAGCCGACATCATTCATACTGTCCCCGACGCCTGGGTGTCCGTCGTACCACTCCTCCTGTTCTGACCCTGCCCGCCTATCTCTCCGCCCGCCGACACGCCGCCCGCCCACCGCATCACGCCGTCTCCCGACGCCTGGGTGTCCGTCGTGCCTCTCCCCCTGTTCTGACCCTGCCCGCCTATCTCTCCGCCCGCCGACACACCGCCCGCGCCGCATCACGCCGTCTCCCGACGCCTGGGTGTCCGTTGTACCTCTCCCCCTGTTCTGACCCTACACGCCTGTCTCCTCACCCGCTGACACGCCGCCCGCCCGCCGCAGCACGCCGTCTCGGAGGTGCTGAGTTTCGTGCAGACACCACAGCTGACGCTGAGCGCGGCCGCCCAGCTGGCGCGCGGACAGCTTAGCCGACTGACCGAGGCTGGCAGGGCGGCCCTGCACGAGGCCATCTCGCGCCGACGCACCCTCCAGCTGAACCTGGACCTGGCCAGCCCCTACCTGGTGGTTCCCGAGACCGGCACGCTGCAGAGGTCAGACAGCGGGGGCGCTTGTGGGGGGGGGGGGAGGGAGGGGGACACGCGGGAGCTGTTGTGCTCAGAAGGCTGACAGCCTATAATAGTGTCAGGAGCAAAATAGTGGGATGGTTTTCCTCTGAGCAACAAAGCGAGAAACTGATAGTCGAAGTAAGTTGTTAAGAAAGCTTTACGCGTTGGCACGGAACGAGTTAAAATTACGCCATTTTGATGATAACTGAAACTAGGTGGGGTGTAAGTCTCAGTATGTCACGTTACACGCTTAACTAAGATTATTAGCCATCTTTTATTGTATGTAGAACGCTGCTGAGCTTGTAGGATGTCAGCTGAACCCCTCCCTCTCACCTCATTACACCAGCTGAACCCCTCCCTCTCATCGCATTACACCAGCCGAACCCCTCCCTCTCACCTCATTACACCAGCTGAACCCCTCCCTCTCACCTCATTACGCTGCATTGGCAGCCTGATGAGGTAGACTCGGTCAGCCTCCTCGCGGTGCTGGGGAACTCAGCCCCTTCATAGCATGTGAGCCCAGTCTGCTGCCCTCCCCGGCAGTGGTGGTAACCTACTGGTGGCTGACCTGGGTCGGCTGGTGGTCACCTCCGAGCTGCAGCCGCCGCTGGACCTGGCCGTCCTGGCCGAAATGAGTCGCGCAGAGCTGGAGGAGGCCGTTTATGATCGCTACCGCTTCCTGCTCACCGACCTCCAGCTGCTGTTCGCCGACTCGGGTACGGGGCTATTGCTCGTAGGCAGTGGTGCTCGGCGCTCGCTAGTGTGGAGTTGGCGTTCTGCCGTTGACGGAGGGTGGCTGAGGGGGGGGGGGAGGGTCCAAGGTAAGCATGTGCTTAATATCTTTGCCGTGACCGGACTGCTCGAGCGTCCAACTTGTCAAGCAGAATTTCCGCGGCTACGGTACCAATTAGCTCTGTAGGTTCTTTAGTGTACTGTGTGGCGCTCCCACTCAGCCGCCCGTTCTGAGTTATACGAACCTAGGGCGCAGGTGGCTCATGGCACAATCCGTAGCGCGGTTCCAGAAACCGCGGTGGTTTCAGTATGTTGTTCATTGCGCTGCGTTTGTGGGGTTACGTATTGGGTGGTTTGGTGAATCGCATTTTCCGTGAGATCATCAGGCATGAGTACAGGACACATCTGTGTTGTCAATGACATTGTCTCTCATAGCTACGAGATGACCACGAATCTTCTTCACCTGCGATTTGATATTATGCGTCGAGTGGGCTTAGTTGGAGCACACTTGGAAACTGCCTGGAGGGTGAGATATATCTGACAACGTGAAGTGGAGTTGCGGAACAGCTTACCGATATCTCCTGCCGGTACGAACCCCGAACCTTGCTCTGGTCGCTCGGTGACAGTATTAGCAGAACCGAAATGCTGGAAGGGCTTTGGTTTCAGCAGTTTAATCATTTTCCTTGCGCAATGGCCAGAGGCGCGGCAGTCCGACCGATAGGACAAATAACGCCGGTAGGAAGCCCGTGCAAGGAAAATACCACTGGCAGGAAGCCGTGCGAATTTTGAGCTTCTCATAACAGACCTCATGGCAGACACGGACATAACAATCCTCACCAACGAGAAGGATCATCATTTGACGTTCAGCAGTTTCCGACACCTATCTCATGACGTCCCGGCGCGTACAGAAGCGGCCGGTCCAACCCTCGAGGCAGATGCAGCGGAACTCGCCAAGGCCCCGCGGATGGCATGTCCCGCCGTTTCGGCAGGAGCGCGTGCGCCGGCAGATATCGCCGTCGTCGGCGTCGGCGGCGCGGCCGGCTGCGGCGACGGCGACGGCGGCGTCTGCGGCCGCGTCGGCAGCAGCGTCTGTGGCAGCGGCATCGGCAGTAGCGGCGTCGGCACGGGCGGCACGGCCCAGGTCGCGCTTGCCCCGCTCGGATCCCGCGTCGCCCACATGCGTCTCTATCATCAGGGAGAACACGCCGTCGTGGATGATGGCCCGCCGACGGCGCGGCCGGTCGGCGGTTCCCGGTCGCGGGGGGGCAGGGGGGCGGAGACTGACGCCGTTCGAGCGGCGGGCCGGCCGGCACCGGCAGGGGCAGCAGCGGCAGTGAAGCTCAGCCGCCGCGGACGGCAGCGAGGTGCCGAAGACTCGCTCCTCGCTGCACGCTGCGTACGCTACTGAACTGTTGCAGCACGTCTCGGCTAGCGTGCTGTCGCAGCGACAGGTGCTCGATTTCTGAAATATTTAAGGGTCTGGTGGTAGACTCGTGCGAGTGCAGGCAGCTTGCTTTCTCACCAGACTGGAACGTAAATATAGTTCAGGTGGAACGACGACGATGTTACGTAGCTGCCTTGTGTGCGGCATCAGTCATGCCTAAAATCTAGTCGCTTCGAACTTTTAGACACGCTTATCGATCCACGAAAAAAGCTTCTGCTTGCCTCGTGAAATGATCCGGACCGTAGATTATGACACTATAAGCCTGGTGTAATGACAGCAATTGGCCTTCAGTACAATCCCTGGTGCTCGTCAATGCATCGAAAACCCGCATGGCCTTAGCAGGCCGCGGACGCCGGAGTAAGCAAGAGGACGCAGCCCGGGCAGCCATGTAAAATGCGATCTCTCTTGACGCCGTGACATTTCCTTAGTTTTTTTATTATTGTCACAACATTCGGAATCTGTTTTCACACGGTCTCATTGTTGAGGATTGGCTACATTTAGCAAAAAGCCTTTCTCTGCTGATAATCGCGGTGCCATTTACCTTGTGGCTTAATGTCTCCGGCTGCACTTCACGCGGAACACTTGCAGTGTTGCATCTTGCATAACCCACGCTCCACTTGTGGAGACATTTTGCACTGCAATACACATACATTGCACTTTACTGAAAACTGATGTAAGCTACTGTAATTTGTTTTGTTGCCAGATTGAGTTCTAGCATTGCTCTTCAACCAACACCCTCGCACATATATCCGCATGGCTCGGTTACACACGCTTACGCCAATGAGTTCACCAATGTGGAGACTGCAGTCAAATTTACACCGTAGAAGAATATTCAAACCAACCTTGCTGTTGCCAAAAGACATGAAACCCATAGCCAGGGATGCATTTGTGCGGATTCCTCTGGATTTTGGGGCGTCTTTTTGCGTTTTGTTGCTTTATATCTGTTGTGTATATATTTGTTTGTGTTGAATTGATCCGCTTCAAGAGCACAACAGTATTTGTGTCCAGTCAAAGTCGCTGATATTGATTCATGATTGGTAATATATAACTGCAATAGCGAAATGTGGATCATCGGTTGCATAGATAATCAAGCCTGCGGTGTGCAATATGCCAAAGATGGTCCAGGAGGAAATTGTGGCTCAATAACATCCCAAATGTCTCATAGTTTAATCTCACATTTTGACAAAATAATTCGTGATTGATCTGCGCAAACGTGCAGCTGTTGGCATACACCCTCCAAATTCAATATGGCATCTCTGAATGCCATGGATGTTAGGCGGTCTAACTTTGAAATATCGAGTGGTGTTAATGCTCGGGATACGTTCAGGATATAAAGTTATAACGCGCGGTTAGTGCTGAAGGCAAGTGACCAAATGGGGATGGAGTTTGCTACCCTTGCAATATACAAAGTCAGTACCGAGCAAACGACCACAGACATGCAGCGACAGTCACGCGACAGGCTGTGTTCCCCTTGGTGACCTCCGTTCCCTCGGGCACCCTCGGTGACCTGAACTGCACCCGCAGGCGACGAGTGGCGCTCGAACCTGCGACGGCCCACCTCCGAGAACCACCTGCTGCCCAAGGTGCAGGCCGAGATGGTGTTCTCCAACTCGGTGCAGCAGAGCTACACGCTGGTGCCAAGGTCAGTCGAAACAGTGCGATGTGTTTTGTGGCAATGGTGCAGTGGAGCTACAAGCTGGCGCCAAGGTCAGTCGAAACAACGCGATGGGTTTTGTGGCAATAGTGCAGCAGAGCTACACGCTGGTGCCAAGGTCAGTCGAAACAGCGCGATGGGTTTTGTGGCAATGGTGCAGCAGAGCCACACGCTGGCGCCAAGGTCAGTGGAAACAGCGCGATGGGTTTTGTGGTCACCATACATGTTGTACATAATCGAATTGTTGGAGGCCTTGGGGCAAGAATATTTGAGTTTATAGGCATGTATTTTGCTGTTAATTTTCTGAGTTGAGTACACGACATTGCCGCGATGTGGGATAACTCGTCTTGCATTGGGCGGCATCTAATTGGTTCCATTCCTTTACCAAAAGTAATCTGTGCTCTGATCGTACAGAATGCCGATTTATTGTGATATCAGACCACGACGATAATAGCCTAACGCGTACTTTGAGAGGAAAGGGATGTCGTTCAGTGTGCATGCATGCCTCTTAACCGCGCAGCAGCAGTGGAATATTCTGAGAAGTTTCTTGCATCATGGTTTAAAACGACGATGTTTCGCATTGAGCATCGACGAAAATACGAATCGATGCAGACTGCGCCACGATAACACCGACACGTCAATGTACACGAAACGCTGGGCCGGCCGCGAAGCGTGCTACCATCCACCGCTCGCGTCCTGACACCCCTGCCGTCCGTCGCATGTGTCCTGACACCCCTGACGTCTGCTGCACGTGTCCTAACACCCCTGCCGTCCTTTGCACGTGTCCTGACACCCCTGCTGTCCGTCGCACGTGTCCTGACACCCCTGCTGTCCGTCGCACGTGTCCTGACGCCCCTGCCGTCCATCGCACGTGTCCTGACACCCCTGCTGTCCGTCGCACGTGTCCTGACACCCCTGCCGTCCATCGCCTGTGTCCTGACGCCCCTGCCGTCCATCGCACGTGTCCTGACACCCCTGCCGTCCGCCGCGCTCCAGACACAAACTGGACATCACGATGAGCGCGTGCCGACTCCACCTGTCGGACCGCCGGATCCGCCGGCTGGTGGACTTCTCGGAGCGACTGCCGGTGCCGCGGCCGCTCCAGTACCGCGACACGGTGGACGCCATGCCCAGACGAGACCACCTCTGTTTGAAGGAGTGTCAGGTCAGTGGGGGAGGGGAAGCCTGAGGGAGCGTGAGGCCAGTGGGAGGAGTCGAAGTGGGCGTCAGGTCGGTGGAGAGTGTGTTTCTGAAATAAAGTCGGGCCGGTGGAGAGGGTTTGGGGAGGCTCAGGTCACAGCGGATGGTGTGAGGGGGCATTAGGTCAGTTTAGAGCTTCTTTATGGGTGTCAGGTCAGTTCAGAGCTACTTCAGGGGTGTCAGGTCAGCTCAGAGTTACTTCAGGGGCGTCAGGTCAGAATAAAATTACTATAGGGGCGTCGTTGTCAGCGCGTCGAAGGATCTAGGGGAGTATCGGGTCAGTATGGAGGGTCCGGGGAAACGTTAGGTCAGAGAAAGTTCGAGGGAGTGCCAGGTCATTAGAGAGGGTACCGCGTGTTAGGCGACATCAGGGAGCGGGAGTTTAAAGGAATGTCCGGTGAAAGGCAAGTGAGCGGTGTCGGAACTGGGGCACATATACATTGACGGTGGCACACTGCAGACGTAGGGGTGCAAAGTGTGTGAGGTGCGGTATTTGAAGGCAGGAGGGTTTGGATTTGGACCTTAAAAATGCAGATATCGCGTTTTTGAAGTGTAGTCTTGAGAAACGTCCCTAACAGGAGTGCTGCCTAGTTGTTGCCTCTGCACGTGGTAATTACCTTCGTGCAACTGACACGGTACTTCTGCGATCCTGGACGCCTACCCAAGACGAGAAATTGCATACTGTCCTTCCGTCCAAGAAATCAGCGAACGGATATTGCGTTAAAGACTTCTCGATTCGCGCGACGTACACGCGTCATGCTTGAATGTAGCGTGCGCTGTAATTTGATGACAATTTGACTGCCTCCCAAAAATCATGCTTTGTCTACGAACGAACCGAACAAAAATTATTTTCCAAAAGTAGGGTTTTGGTTCCAGAAAAATCCAGAGCAGTTCAAGTTCCATCGCCTTAAGAATTGTACCAACGTTGCACTCTCCGCATTGGGCCCAAAATATTGCGGAGTTACTACGGTGCAGCCAAAACTTATGGTGAAAATGGCAATCACACCAAATGAATTAGGAGAACATTCATCAACGTGTGGCCAATTGAGATGGCTTTTCGATAAGAGAGACCCGGGATTTCGACGTATTAGCATTTGCACCCAAGCCCTCGTTTTCCGCCCCAGGCGTGTCATGAGCGGTTGTGGGACGCATCATTATAGCTGTGACTCTGGGAAGATTAAGAGTTGCAGCTCGAGATGTTTTCAAGCCGGACTTGCATCATTACGATACGTATTGCTCCGTTTACCCAGTACCAATGCACTCTGGTCTGTGCCGTCGTGCTTGCTACCTTTATGTTGTCGGGCGCAATGACGTCGAAAATCATGGCTGACTGAAGGAATGCGTGTCCTCCGTTTGAGCTGCATGACAAGGGGGCTTCCTGTAGCTTGTGCGCTATTTAGGATATTTGATGACGTGCATAACATTCCACGCGCAGAGGCTGAGCTTGACTTAATGCGGTCGTGGCTGTTGCCCGCGGCGGAACTAAAGCTGTTTTTTGTTGTCCCCAGATACCTACGGTATGTTGTCCAATCATGGACGATCAAGTTTTGCTTGTTTTGAGTGCCTTGTGCCATATAGCACTCATTTGGCATCTGAGGTGGCGGCCACCTTGAGTAACGTTTTTCAACTCACACCGAGCATTTTCGATGCATGCGTTGTTCGCCATTTACCAAATAACAACTAAGCTGTTTGGGCCCGGAAAGCTGGCACATTGACGTGACTTTTCGTTCCGTTCACCAACAGCATTGTCATCGAGCGCATGGCCGAGCATTTGATTCCTATACAGAGTCCGCCGATGTGTGATTTTTAACTTATTGATAAACGATTTGGTCCCTGTTATTTGATTGTGAATCAAGAAGGAATAAGATACGAATGGGCATGCGTTAAGCCACCGAAATGACGAAATTATGTTATGCTTGACATGCCTCTCACGGCTTTGCATGTTTGAATGCATCACCAAAAGAAAAATGGTATTACCGGACCACGTGTCAGTGGTGTGGGAATGTACAGTGCCGTATTAGGTGACAATTATGTGCTGGATTTTAGATGGTGAATGTTTTTTTATAAGGTACCACTGCTTGACCGCAATAGGTTGAGCGATGGGAAAATTTGTTTTCTGCGGCTTGTCTGCAGTCAGGTTATTGTGTGAATTTGCGTACATTCACGCTAGCGATATTACATGCAAGTTGTAGAGGTATCTATGGAGTTAGTGTCCTTACTGAGGTGCATTCTTTTACCAACCTAAAAGACGCCTCCATAGGCAGACTGGATGCAATGTTGTAGTCGCCTTTCCATAAATAAGACTTCCTCACTGTCTCACTAACTCATTGTGTACCTCTCGGATGGCAGCTTTGCGCAGTTTACTTCAGTTGAAACCGACAGTTCAAAAGCCCTCACATTTGTCGTCGCCTTTGCACCACGGCATCGTACTCGTGCTGTTGTAGTAGTCTTTACTCGTGCTGCTGTAGTAGTCTTTGCCTGAGCGGGGCATGAAACGTTTTCTGGTGGAGGCTTACCAGCATTAGTTCAGGTTCGGAGGGTGATCGAACACAGCCGTGACGACATTGACCATGGTCAAGAACCGATCGGCGTCTGTCCGGAGTCTTTAGTCCAGCGCAGACGGTCCGGCTCGCCCTGCGCTTCCCGGGCGCTGACTTGAGGTCACCGCCGTAGATGGAGCCAGACACAGGCGAGCTGCGCCGTATTCGCCGGCACCTGCGCCGCAACGTGCGCCGCGCTGCCACCGCCGCGGACACACCGGACAGCGCGGCGGCGCCGGACAACGCATCTGTCGACTCTACCCCGCTGTCGTCGACGGGCGCTGAGGTGCAGAGGTGAGGGGCGGCGGCGGCGGCGCCGGACAACGCATCTGCCGACTCCACCCCGCTGTCGTCGACGGGCGCTGAGGTGCAGAGGTGAGGGGCGGCGGCGGCGGCGGCAACGCATCTGTCGACTCCACCCCGCTGTCGTCGACGGGCGCTGAGGTGCAGAGGTGAGGGGCGGCGGCGGCGGCGCCGGACAACGCATCTGTCGACTCCACCCCGCTGTCATCGACGGGCGCTGAGGTGCAGAGGTGAGGGGCGGCTGCGGCGGCTGATTACGCAGCTCGGACCCCGCCAGGCTGGGTGAGAGGCCCAGAGGCCCAGGCTCACTGATGACTTTGATTCGTAAAATGGTTAGTGGGTTAGTGTGCCGGTTAAGAATGCCGCTTTCAGCGGCGCCGCAGGCAATCCAGCTGACAGATCCAGTGGCCTGGATGCATAACGAGTCGTATAATCGAGCCTGCCCCGCCCCGAAATTACTTTGCTGGAGTGGTCTCGTCTTCGTCGACTATACGTTGTTCTGAAGGATATGCGTTTCTTGTCTGCTTTTGTAGCTCCTATTGTGTGTTGCTATTTTTGTTACAAAAACCACGCAAACGCAGTATGGACCTGTCGTGTGCTCAGTGGGTGGGGAGCTTTGGTGTCCTCCCAGACGCCGTCGGCTTGCGTGTGCATAATCCATCGCCGCCTTCGCTGCCGACAGAATCATGCAGCACGAGGTGACGGAGTCGGAGCCGGGCAACAGTGACCAGTGGGCACGAGCCGTTGACCAGCCTGGCTTCCAGGACAACGTGTCGGCGCACAACACGCTCAGCGTGATGCTGCGCCTGCAGATCCCAGAGGTGAGGGCGGCCCGCCGCCGGGACAGGAAGCCGGCAGTCCAGAGCTGTGTCACGAGCTGCCTCGCATAGCCAGTAATCGTGTTGCACGTGAGTGCCGTGAGTATGGGTGTGTGGAGCTGAATAGGGAAGGGCGGAGAAACCTGGACGACGAGCCCTCCGACTTTCCGTTAGTGGAGCACGCCACCAGTAACCAGTGCGTAAGCCGTGGTCGGTGCTTCGCCGATCCCTAACACGTTACGCCTGCGTCCGCTGCGTCCGAGCTGACGTTGTCAGTGATTGGACCGTGGAGCGTGGCGTGACGTTCCCGTGTGTTACGGCAACTGAGAGTGAGGAGTGACCTCGGTGATGGCACCGCCCACCAGGTGACGGTGCACCTGGACCGGTCCGGTGACGCGGCCGACCGGCCCTACCTGATGCTGGTGGTGAGCACGCTGGTGGCCGAGCTGGCGCAGATGACGTACGGCCCGGCCGCTCAGCTCACGCTGTCCGGTTTGCGGCTGGTCGACAAGCTGCACGCCACAAATGGCGGCGAGTATCTGGAGCTGATCAGCACGGCGGACCAGAAGCAGCTGGTCACGGTGCTGTACAGAAAGGTGGGTACTGTGAGCTGATCAGCACGGCGGACCACAGGCAGCTGATCACGGTGCTGTACAGGAAGGTAGGGTACTGTGAGCTGATCAGCACGGCGGACCACAGGCAGCTGATCACGGTGCTGTACAGGAAGGTGGGTACTGTGAGCTGATCAGCACGGCGGACCACAGGCAGCTGATCACGGTGCTGTACAGGAAGGTAGGGTACTGTGAGCTGATCAGCACGGCGGACCACAGGCAGCTGATCACGGTGCTGTACAGGAAGGTAGGTACTGTGAGCTGATCAGCACGGCGGACCACAGGCTGCTAATGGCGTTGCTGTATGGGAGAATGGGTCTGGGCGTCGGTCACTGATATACAATGGACTGAGCATCGTTTCATGTATATTCACTGCTGGGGACTACCGGATGACTGTTGGCCTGACTTTTTACTACGGGCATGTAACTGGTGTAATTATGGTTAGTTGCATTTTCTGTAGGGCATATCTCTTCTGTGTATGTAAAATAACCATAAATGTTGGGTGCCAAAATTCGAAGATGACATCCGTGTTGAGGATCAACACATCGTGTAAGGATTTATGCATGGGTGATTCGTTATGTTTTTCACCCGCCGAAATGGTTTCGATTCGCTTCATCTAAACCTCTATTTGGAGAAGCGTATAAGTGTCCAAATTTCCTCTAAACTTGTTTTTAGTTGGAGAAGTTTTTGAGTGTCCAAATCACTCAAGTTGTAGCTACCTTGCTCTGTCACGAAGAACAGCCTTTTCAAAAAGACCTTTTGTGAAATTTACTTAACGCTGCAATTGTTGGAAGAATTCTCGTCAGAATCTGTGTAGATGTAAGGAATTGCTTCTTTAGTCTGGAGCCGCCTCAGTTTGCGACAGCGGACATAATGTTAAAGCTAATCGGAACGTGGAATGCTCTGTCGAAGATTACAAAACATTTTAAGATGTCTTCAAAGATGTCGTGCAGCATACCGCCATGAAAACTGCTACTGGCTCATTTAGTGCTGATGAATTTCGCCGTCGTGCAGCCTTTGTTACGCGACTGTGAGGCATTGCGTCGGATTGGGTTGTCAATTTAAACCCGTGACTGTTGGTTCTGTTGCACTAGGTGAGCCCGAGCTGCCCAGAGTTCAGTACAGTCTTCCACAGCGTCGAACAGAGCCTAGTCATGGACATCGACACAGTCAACATGCTGTTCCATCGTGGCGCCGTGCTCACCCTGGTCAAGTTCCTTCAGTACGCCGGCGAGCGGTAAGCTCCCGTGATGTCCGATGCCCCGGCACGCTGACCGTCGTGTCTGTCGAGCGTTGTCGTGTGGTGTTTGTCCATCCAGTCCGCGACCTTTCGTGGACTAGAGGATGTCGTGGGCATGGACGTCGTGGACGTCTGGGATCTCAAGCGATGTTTAGTTTTTAGTCGGTGTTAACATCCATCGAAGTGCCTGTCATGTATCGCACGCGGTAGGTGTACTGGGTTGAAGTCGTCTCCCCGTACATGATTGGCGCTTGCTGTATACGTCTTGTGATATTCTGCGTCGATGCGGTGAGCTTACGTGATGTGCGCTGTAACATGCGTGTTTTGTCAGTCCTATGTGTCATTTGGGTTTTTGTCATCAGGCTCCGCCAGAAAAGACAGTTATTTATTTTCACATGTGTTGGAAGTGACCTTCGGTGTGCGAGTGTCATTCTCAAACCCTTCCAGCTTGCTGGTGCCCACAAGGTTGGAGGGGTTCTATTGAAATTATATTGGTGATTTTCGGTCAGTCACACATTCATCTCGCATCCAAACCTCAAGTCCAAGGTTTTCCGTGTCACCATGCCATCAAATAGCCGAGAACGCGGCCCAAGGTCGTCAGCTGAAAATTACGTCGGGCTTTATGGTGAAGACAGCAGAACATAATGGCGATGCATCATCTTCAGTGCACAAAATATGCGTGCTAAAAAAACCTGTTACAGCTGGAACGCGAGGAGCCACGGTCTCTTTTTACTCGATTACTGCAAGGCATGTTTGATGGTGATGAGGAGAAATGAACTTCCGGACGGGAGTTTTTCACGTAGAGGTGCTCTGTTTACATGTCTTGTGAACTTTGAAGTAAATTTACTTGTGGTAGGTAACGCGGTTTACGCATAGACGGTTTGATTAGTTGTAAGGCATGATAAACACCAATTTGAACAATTTTTCCTTTCCTTTGCTTTTGTGTTTGACCATATCTCCTGTGATGTTTTTAAATCAATTTGGTGAGAGCTCCATTCCCAATGCTGAAATTCACCCCGGATCAAATTTGACACATAAACAGATAGCTCAGCTTTTACGACAACATGGCTACGGTGTTATTGAATATGAGCATGAATCGCCCTTGGCGGTTGACGACGACATCATATACACGCCAGAGCAAGTACTTCCGGAGCTCTTCGGCCATGTGCGCGCGGCGACGAACATCCTGCGGTCGAGTAGAGTGTGGCTGGACAAGGAGGGACGAGCGAGTGTTAACTACTTCTACGACACGGAGACGAAGGCCAACCGGAAGTTGTTCCAACAAGCCTTAGACACGTGGGCCTCATCCACTTGCATCACTTTCAAAAAACTAGCGGACGGGAAATGCACGAGGAAAACGACCGAGCCCGGCATCTGCGTAGGCAACCGAGACCTGTGCCAGTCCATGATTGGCAACAATTTTAAGTACACGAAGGGCTTCCAGAAGTTGTCGATTGGGGACGACTGCGAGCTGTTCGCAGCTGCGCACGAGTTCGGCCACGCGCTCGGGCTGCACCACCAAATGGGACGATATGACCGTGATCAGTTTATCACCGTCAACTTTCGCAACTTCGAGCTCGAACTGATGTCAAAAGCCAAAACGGAGGAGCACTTTCGTTTCAAGTGGAACCAAGGAAAGAGATGCAAAAAGGGGCAGACATTTGAAACGAGTATCCCGGTGCCCTATGATTACATGTCACTAATGCAGTACGGTGAATCTGACTTTGCGGACGCAGACTATCGGATCATTTTCGCCACTCGTGATGCACATTACCAGTACATGTTTGACTACGCCAGATCTGGCGGGTATCTTCAAACGCATTACGATAAATTTGTCTTGAACTCGGTCTACAAGTGTCCGGAAAAGTGGGCTGCAGCATGCAGAAAATCCGGCAGCACTCCTCCCAAATGCCAGCATAACGGATATGTGAATAAAGACTGCAAGTGCGCCTGCCCTGAAGGATTTCGAGGGTCGCAATGCGAAAAGAAGCACGGTTCTTTGTTTCCTGTATTGGACAGAGCCAAAGTGATGATAGACGTCAGCAAGCCGGGGCGTGTCGTGCTCAAAGGAAAGGGAATGCACACCAACAATGATAACTACCCGTTGAGAAGGTTCATTTATTACCAATACGTCACCGTAGTGATAAAAGGTCAGGACGCGAAAACCATGACGAGCGTCCGTGTGTATGAACCAGGCGATGTAGCCAAGTCGTACACCCTGAAACTGGGCAAGATACTGAGCTACTTTCAACAGCTGGAGTCAAACGACTGCGAGTATGGCTTTCTTTTCTTTTGGGGCAACTCTTCTAGAGGCCTCATGCGTACCGAGTGCTTCTCCTCGTTCGTCAACAACGAGCCGAAGGAGAACGCGCCGGTCTTTCGCGCGAAAGATCGCTTCATGGACATTGTCATGATCGCAAAGCTGGGCGAGATGTTCAGCTACGCTGGGTTCACCAAGTGGATGCTGGAGATGCTGCAGATCACTGTGTCGTTCCCGCAGCGGCCGCAGGGTGCGCTGAAGCTCATGCAGTCCCCTGGCGGCACCATGGTGAGCGGCGAAGACAACAGCACGGTGCAGGGGGCCGCCGCCCTCCGCAAGGCCATGTCCACGCTAGGCGGTGTAGCAGCCGTGATTGGCGTGTCGCTGGCATTGCTGCTGCTCAGCGCCGGGGGCATAGCCGCCGGCGTGATCTGCTGGAAAAAAAGGAACGCCAAGCAGGAAACTGGTGTGAAAGACGCTTTCGTGAAGACGTTCCGTCTCGAATCGTCCTCCTCCGGAAGTGAACCTTCGAGTGAAAGCGGCAGTGATTGACTGGCAATGTGTGCTGCTGGCAATGCCAAACGTTTCCGATAGATTTCTGGTCGGTCGGGTCTTGGGCTATATGTGACAGTGTCTTGGTCGGGTGCTGAGTGGCAGCGTAGGGCTTTGCTGCGCCACAAGAGTGCTAACATGATTATGACCGCTACGGTCAGGTAAATGCCGACACATTTATCCTTAGCTTGGGTTCGTTGTGAGCGCTGTGGCGACCCCGATAGGCTTGAAAGGCTTGGATGTGTTAACAACATTTTAGAATTAAGAAGACTGGGACAGGTGTGTTAGCACCGAAACCGACTCAATTAGGGTGAAACGGCCTCCATACTGACCTGTGGCAGGCAAAGTGCGGCCGCTCAGATAAACTCGTCGGGACGAGAAAACCCAGAAAGACACGTGCGTACTGCAACACCAGAAACAGCTTACTCATGCGGGTGACGGGGGACAAGAACTAGCTTCCGGAAGGGGCGAGGAGGAGTCCAAATTTTAGGAGGAACTGCGGTACTTTCCAGTGAACAATTTGAGTGAAAGTGTACCGTGCGAATTTCCGTAAAGAAGGCACCCTGAAAATGTCCCAGGTATCATCTCTGACTCATCCGTGCAATAGCAACTCTAGCCAACAACTGAAGTTTTACAAGCCACAGCTGTGGTTAAAGTTGCAGTTGACGTGATTCCACAGCTAGTGAATAAATACACGAATGGCATCTACATAATCACGCTGAAGTTTAAAATCGTCACCTTAGTTTCCAGTTTCTCGGAAGCTTGTGAGAGTCGATTTCCGCATTTTCACGCACCACATGGGTGGGCCGAGCGTCTTAACGGCAGCCCCTACCAATGTCTTCTGTACCAACCTCATCACGTAGCTTACCGTTGTGCGGTAGCGCAGCAGTCATGAAAAGTCAGCCTCACAACTGTGAGTGTCGTTTGGCACCCCACTAGCGTAGCGTAGCGGCCACAGTGCTGCCCTGTGGGGGCTGTATAATGACTTGCCTTCTGGAGGCGGCCCAGATGACTGCTGGTGGCGAACGCTGAAGGCTGTGCGGCAGTCAAGCTTTCTCAGGCTGGTAAACATCTTGCGCTTCAGCGAGCTTTGCTCTTTTTGAGAAAAAAACGACATCGGGTATGCTGCCCACTTTTTCCTAACTGGCGAACTTACTTGGCAGGGGGGCGTTCAGGGCTGATTTGTTCTGACACAGCTCGTCGGGCTTCCGCCGGTTTTGGCTATCGTTGATGCGCTTCCTTTCTGGTTGGTGTTCGCCTTTGCAATGACGCCTCCCTGCGCTGATCAATGACAGATATGCTTTGGACCGGACAACAGCGATGCATTTCTCTTCCAGGCTAAACTGCAGCCATGAGTTTTCCCATCAGACGTGACTGAGGCGATTTATGTCCCCGTGAGGCCTGACTGTAACGATGGCGTCTGGCGGCGACCGCCGAGACCGACGCGATGCTGTCTCCTCGCACGACCTGAGGAGGGCGTGTCCCAGCCCTGCCAGACCTGGCCGTAGCAGTGCCGTTGTTCAGCCAGACCTTACTGGAGCGGTGCCCCTCCCGCCAGACTGGCTGAACTGAGACGGTGCCGCTCCCGCCGGACTGACTGAACTGAAGCGGTGCCCCTCCCGCCAGACTGACCGAACTAGAGCGGTGCCGCCTCTGCCAGACTGGCTGAACTGAGGCTATGCCCTTCCCGCCAGACTGGCCGAACTGGAGCTGTGCCGCTCCTGCCAGACTGACTGATTTGGAGCGGTGCACCTCCAGCCAGGCTGGCTGAACTGGAGCGGTGCCCCTCCAGGCAAACTAACTGAACTGGAGCGGCGTCCCTCCAGCCAGACTGACTGATTTGGAGCGGTGCACCTCCAGCCGGGCTGGCTGAACTGGAGCGGTGCCCCTCCAGCCAGAATGGCTGAACTGAAGCGTTACCGCTCCCGCCAGACTGGCTGAACTGGAGCGGTGCCGCTCCCGCCAGACTGTTTGAACTGGAGCGGTGCTCTCCCGCAAGACTGGCTGAACTGGAGCGGTGCGGCTCCCGCCAGGCTGCCCCTTCTGCCGGACAGAAGTGCAGTGATGGCTTTGTTCTTTCCGGCTTTGGCTGTCACGATGGCCCTTCCCTCCTGGCCTAAAAGTAGTATTGCGCTTTCCCTGTTAGACCTAGCGGTGTTGCCCCTCCACACCTTACATGACTCGGAAGCTCTACACCTTCGCGGGCGGCCTGAGTGCATTGGCCGCCGGTCCTGTCCACAGGCTGGCCACCAAGGGCCTACCGGCGACGGCGCCGGCGCTGTCGCCAGCTCTGCTGGCTGCGCCGATGGCCGACGGTCCGCCGACACCGGCCGGAGCCACCCGCTTCAGCGGCTCGGTTCGGCTCCAGGAGGTGGTCGGGCGGCTGTGCGACACCGATTCCGACTTTGTGGAGGTCAAGGTCAGTTGGAAGGGTGGGGTCGGTGCGTGAGGGCTGGACTATTGAGGGGTCTGGATGGCGAGTGGGAGCTAGGTTGATCGGAGAGTAAGTGATTTGGTTGACTTTTAGGCATGGGAAGTGAGACCTGGAGATCCCTCGAGGATAGTTCTACTGTTGAACTTCCTTATGCAGGACCGACAACAGCAGATTGAGGCTTGTGGAATGTTTGGTGGTGTGATTTGGTCGGCTCATGATCGGTGCCAGTATTATATTGCCTTCCCAACAGACAGCTAATGTGCTCACATGGTCAAAGGTTTTGCTCCAGGGCTTGTTCGTTGCCTTTTGCCGGGTCCGAGATGGTCAAATGCCGCAGGAAGACGAATGAGATCAGTTTGATCATTATCCCAGTTGGCCTGCCGTTTATATGCATGTCTATCACCGGTGATCTGAAAAAAATTGTAGCTGACGTATTTCATCGGAGCATCGATTATGGGATGAATGATTACTAACTGTCTGAAGAGTATCCAGGTCATGAAAATAGATAAGTATATTACCACAATTTTTTGGGTATCTTTTACATCGGGAACAGCGCACATTGAACTTGACCCGTTGCCGCTTACAGCTGACAGGAGCGGAGATCGATGGACAGCTGAAAGCCAATGACAAGATGATATTCAAAGCTTCTTTAGCCGAATTTGCCATGGAAGATATTTCAGAAACCACCCTGTACTCTAAGGTAAGAATGAAGCATCAGTTTTTAAATTTGCCATGGCTTTTAATTTCTGTTTTGCCGCGCAGTTTTCCCGCTTGCGATTGTTTGTAGTTCTAACGCAGATAAGACTCTGATCTTGGTATTTCAAACGATGGATGGCAAACATATCGGAGTGGTATTAGTCAAAGACGACGCAAACTCAGCTTCTAATGCGAATCAGCTGCCGAACACACTGCCAGATGGTCTGTGCCCGTTTATTATCTCTGACCGACCGAGCCATCGGTAATTCAGAGTCGGCATGCCTTCAGGTTATCCGGGTAACCCACGCGTCCTCGGGTCCTGTCGATATTCACGTGTCGCAGGATTTCTCAATAAACCCACATGTCTTCAGATCCTCCCGGTCACCCCCGTTATTCTAGACCCTCGCCAACGGCCGTGTATCGGCAGATCGTCTCGATGGAGGACGAAAAGCTACTGGAGCTGGGCGTGGCGCTGTTGTCGGGCGGCCGGTCGCCGTTGGAGCTGACTGAGCCGACCCGGCCTCAGGGCTCCGTCCGGCTCCGCGTCGGTCGCCTGCACGTTCTCCTGCTGCACAAGATCGTGGCTGAAATGCAGGTCAGTGCGCCTCCTGAGAGCACGTGGGCTGGGCTTTGCTAATGACGCTCTCTGGGAAGGGTTTGTCAAGTAGCACGCTACTGGGTTGCGAATTTGTACCTCTAAGTTATGACTTATGCGAGTCACGACGAGGCATTGCGGTGATATCCGCTTCCGTTATTTCCACTTCTCTGTGCGGCACCTGTGCCGCCCGCGCGTCGTTGGCGTTGCTGGTGAAGCTCGGCCAGTGTTATGCCTCACTGCTTTTGTGAAACGGTCTTCCTCACGATACGGTTTGTGCTCATTTCGGTGCTCGTTGGGTTCCGTGTCGTCTGACCTGTCATCACTACCTGTTTCCCTGCCGCACGCCGAGTGATCACCGCCTCCTCCCCGCCGTCGGCAGAGTTTCCTGGCGCCGTTCGTGGTGCCCGAGCTGGGCGGCTGGGCGGCGCGCGAGGCCGAGCGCCGCCTGGCGGACGGCGTGGCCGGCGCCCAGCGGCAGGCGCCCACCCTCAGCCTGGACGTGCAGCTGCACGCGCCGCTGCTGGTCATCCCTGGACACTCGCGCTCTAGAGAGGCACTGCTGGTCAACCTCGGTCAGTGGCGGGCGTCACCGCCGTGGTGACAGAGTTGAGGAATGCATGTTTTGTTTGAAAGAGTGCGCTTCGAAATCAGGCAGAGGTGACCAAGATGCACCAACAGTAAACGCGACGCTCAACCTCGTGTCCTTCCGTGGAACAGGCGACCTGACGGTGGAGAACCTGATCAAGCTGAAGGAGAAGCCGTCCCGTCACGTCATCGACAACATCATGGTCCGGCTGGGCGACGTGCAGATCAGCCGTGCCGCCCTCACCATGAGCGGCGACCTGGAGGTATCACTGGACAGGGGCTGCGGTCGTGTGTCTGGTCTGCAAATATCGAGCTGCGGAGGTCTGCCTGCCTCCCAATTATGTCCTTTCGGTTTTGTCGCAGTTGTGAACACGATGATAAAACAACGTGAATATCAATGCAAACGATGTCGATGTTGTACATGCAGCAGCGTTTTTAAATGGGACAAAACGGCTTTTAGTCCTTGAAATTGAGATGCTGGTGTGATATTCGAGGATGTTAAGGATTTAGGTTGCAAAGATCAGTGCGGGGCTTCAGTGACACACGAACGTCAGTCGTGCCACCTGCAACTGAATCCCGATACCAATTGACCAACTATGAGGAAGATTTCTTTTCATCTACCACGCCCAACAAACTGTCAAAAATATCAATCATTATCAGCGTTCCAACAGCCGCCGGCCGGCTGCCGCGTCCTCATCCTGCCGTCTGACCGTCGCCCCTCCCCTCGCGCGTCAGGTGCTGGACCCGATCATGGCGCCGGCCGGGCTGCGCGTGGACGTGCAGCGAGTCGTGTTGCCGGCGCCATCTGGTGTGCTGCCACTCGGCATCTCCGCCAGCCTGGACACACTGCATCTGGACGTGGCCCAGAGCGACGTCACCCTCGTCTACACAGTGCTGACGGAGAACCTGGCCGAGGGACAGTTCGCCGGTGAGCGACGTCACGCTTTCCGGTCATCAGACGCGGCTATAAGCTGCGGTGGTGGTAGGTGACGACTCGCTGGAGCATGTTGCGGCAGGTCCCCTGTGGAGCCTGGCTGAGTGAAAACGTACTGGAGGTGGTCCCACTTCACGCTGTTGTGGAGGTGTGCGTAAGAATTGGTTAGTTCTCTTAGAATAGCAGGCATTGGTCTGGCGTTGGAACTGGTTGGACGAAGTGGTAATGACTATCTCCGGCTTTCATCGTGACTCCGGCAACGTTCGGGTGCGGATGTGCTGAACTCTTATGTCAATTTTAGATTTTGACGCGTGTTCCCCCTGTCTCATTATCCTCTTCCGCCGACTCGGTGTACTTTGATGAAATATCTCGACAACAAAGCCGCACGATGCCCGACTCTGAGCTCGTCATCACGCCTCTCCGCCAGATGAGAGCTGGCGTACGTTCTCTCCGGAGCTGGCGATGGTCCAGCTGCCGCCGGGCGTGGACGAGATGGTGGGCCAGCGGCTGCAGGCCTTCCTCTCCGGCGAGGCGCGGCCCGAGGCCATCGTCTCTGTCGCGCTGGACGGCGCTGTCGTCACTCTGTACGACGACGGCGGACAGGTGAGGCACTCACGCTCGCGGGGCTGCGGAGGCGGCGGCCGATACTGAGAGGATGGGGAAGGCGACCAGGAGTGCTGCCCCAACTCCTCGGCGTAGGGTGTCGTAAATGTGGCTGCGAAATGTGCGATTTCTCAGTGCATTCAGTGGTTATTCATTAGCATTGTCTTTTCGCTGTTTCTGAGTTAATATCACAGTACAACTTGGTCCGCTTCTTGAACGAATAAATGGGAACAAAGTAGTCCTTGTTGAACATTTTACGCTCCATTGTTTGTCTTGAGTGTAACGCCCCCTCACGCGAAGTGAACCAGTACCGGCATCACAGCGTAGCTTCACCTCTCCTTTCGAGCTACTGCAGATGGCCGGCTCGAGCTCGCCCACCCGAGACGAGGCACACGCGCTGCTGCGCTGCGAGGTGGGCGAGGCGCGCGCCGAGCTCGACCAGTACTCGGATCACTCCATGTCGGCGCGGGTGACCCTGCAGCAGCTGACGCTGGCCGACGCTCGTCCCGAGAGTCCGGCCGTCGTCAAGCGGTGTGTGGCGCGGTGTGGAGAGGGGTTCGGGCTCGGTCGGGGCCCCGTCTATGCTGCGTTAACACACGGGGTGGATGTACATCCTTCTCTGTCGGCTAAACACCGTTAAGAACTACAGCCGCCCGTCACATGCTCGTGGCACGTTATGCGCCATGCTTGCATCCTATGTGCCTGTGTGACTGTTCCGTATGCTGTTTCGCCATCGTACTCCGGTCCCCCGCCACACCTCAACGACCGGCCATCGGTCTGCAGGCTGCTGGAGCCGGCCACCGTCAAGGACGGCGCGCTGCTGGAAGTGACGCTGGAGCGCTCCGCCGCTGGCGACCACGCGGTGCGCGCGCTGCTCGAGAGCACGCGGGTCACGCTCTCCGTACCGTACATGGCGCTCATCCACTGCTTCTTCAGCGACGCCTGTCCCCACGCGCCGGCTGCCGCCGCCGCTGAGGCGCATGCTCCCGCCTGGACCAGCAAGGTGACGCCGTGGGCAGGGGAGCAGCCGTGGGCGGGCCACGCGAGAGGGGTGGCGGGGGGCTCTGCGTGGCGTGGCCGGCGTCGCTGTACGGTGCGATGTTTGACTTAAGATGGTCAGGGCTGGGAACCAGTCCGGCTGTGAGACTGTGACAGAGTTGGACATGGAATTCATCAGACTCACCTTTACAATGACCTAATGATGTACTTTCGCAAGCTAGATCGAAACAATCTTAGTATGTTTTCACTGTTTCGAAAAGATGGCGTTGTTTTCCTGTGAAGCATCTACATTCTCTACGATCATCAGGTATTCATCATTTTGCATTTTGATGACAAGAATGTACGATGAAATAAAGAGCGTAATAGTGTTCTTTTCCAGCTCCATCAAATCCATTCGGAAACTCCGACCTCATCTGGCAGCACCAGTGGATACCTTTCGGCTGCCAGGTCGGCTGTCCACGAAGAAGAAAATGGTACGTTGTCGAAATTGGCAAAACCGTTTGCAAGCATTTTTCGAGCGTAGTGCGTTATTTCAGCACTGCTTTTTTGTGACTTGTCGAGAACGGATTTCAGTATTCATACACGATTTTTGAGTAAACGTGCGGGATCCAAGCGACGAGTATTTTCAGCGCCAAAGTTCCGAGCCGAGTCGCTTGAAGTTTGAACATTTCCTCGCCTAAACATGGTGGTAACAGCCGATCACTGTCCCATTCCCTTGGAGGCTGCTCAGGGACAGCCGTCCACCGAGACCCGCCACTGCTGCCACCGCTCATCTGACGCCCCGCTGCGTCCTGGCCTAACCTGATCTGCCCTGTCCGGCGCAGGTCTCACGGTGACTGCTCAGCTGCGGACGCCCGAGCTGGTGCTGCTGGTCGACCCGACCGAGGTCACTGGACGCCGGCTGGTGACCCGGGCCGAGGTGGCGCTCAACTACGTGCGGGCGACCGGCCAGCCACCCAGCGGCTCGCTGTCGCTGGCAGATCTGCAGGTCCGTGGCGCCGCGTCCAGACGGCCACGAACGGGGCGCACCCGATGTAGACTGTTTGAGGAGGTGGTGACAGCGGTCATCTTGATGCCAGAACGGTCGTCTGTGATCCGCGTATTACAGAACATCAGTGTGAATGACTGGCATGCATTCTTGAGCGAGCATTTCGGACGTGACTCTGTGTGCGCGCGCGCGCTTTGTGTGTGTGTGTGTGTGTGTGTGTGTGTGTGTGTGTGTGTGTGTGTGTGTGTGTGTGTGTGTGTGTGTGTGTGTGTGTGTGTGTGTGTGTGTGTGTGTGTGTGTGTGTGCGTGTGCGTGTGCGTGTGCGTGTGCGTGTGCGTGTGCGTGTTAACGGCTTCGCCGGTGAAATTTCTCACCCTGCGTTGGGTGTTTTTCATACAGCCGCGTTTGTACAGCCGGCCGTACCGGTCGTCTCGCATAGTTGTTTGGATTGCTAATGGTTCACCTCCTGCTCTCCTCTCTCATTCCTTTAGATAACGCCTGTGTTTCCTATGTCCACAATGAGTATCAACGTTCTGCGTGCTGCTTGATGTACCTCAGTCGTCTTGTACTCTGGCGGAGTTCGTGGCGGCCGTTTCAGCTCTGCCAGACCCGGCGGGGCGCTCCGCGGCGGACGGAGCGGGTCGTCCTCGAGCCCTGCGACCTCTCCATGACCTACGTGGGGCCGGAAGGCGACACGGGCGTTGCCATGGCGATAGCTCTGAACGAGCTCAACGTCCGACTAGTGGAGTCAGTGGTCCGCACCATCTCGCAGGTACGACAGACGCAGAGATGGGACAACCGCGAAGTGTTCGCACGGTAGCTTCGTCCGCTGCTCGTTGATCTTGGTGGTCGGGTAATCATGCATGCTACTGTTGTGTCCTTCAGATCAATTTTGATTAGATGCTTGTGCAAAGAATTACATCGTGGTTGAACGTGTGAACTTTGGATTGCTCAAATAGCAGTGATTAATGTCGTGCACCTTCCCGCGTTTGGCGTGCTTCTTCGGGATGTGGTGCTAAGCAGTGATCACTTCCCGTGTGGACGGTTTGCCACATGCTGTCGCGTATGCCACTCAGCAGCAACAGCCGTGTCACATCGGCTGGTGGCAGTCCATCACCAGCTCGGTGAGTGTAGCGGCCATGCCCGGCCGCTGCCACGGCCCGCTCTGCCTACAGGTGGTCGCGGACGTGCGACTGAGCATGGACCGGCTGCAGGGCAGCCAGCGACCCGCCTCGGCCGAGGCCGACAGTCTGCCTTCCAGCCCCACTATTGAAAACATCTGGCTGCCCAGGGCGCTAGAGAAGCCCCCGCCGCTGGAGGAGCCCGGTGAGGGCTGGGCAGACGTAGGGGCGGGATGAGTACGATACACGAGTGCGATGACGTCACTAGACGGACGTGCTTTGTATTCAGTTATGGGAAGGTAGCAAAAGTATGTACTGTATAGTGGCTTATATGCCGGAGGGTGCACTCCCGACGGGAGCAAAGCTTTACTGCATTATGACAGCTTCTCTGTGAGCAAGTGTCGTAATCAGGATACATGAATCAGGTTATAGTCCGTTCTGCAGTCAATTTGGGTTGGTGTGCTCGTTACGCATTCCGGACATCTGGCCACCGTAAGGAGCGTTGTGATCCCGACATCCTTCTGCGTCCACTGCTATAGAGAACCACATGTGATGGCGCCCCTGAAGACATTGTGTCGGCGCACGAAGTTATGCAATGTCTCCACAATGCGTCCCACTGGTTCATTACGTCATCAGTCGAGTGTTGTAAGTGAGAGCTGCAGGAAACAGCTGTTTTTTTTTTTACAAAAGGTGTGTGAATCCATCAATATGAGACACATGATACTTTTCTGTCATTCTGCTTGTTATTCTCAGGGGAGCACATCTGCGCAAGGCCGGTGTTCCCCACCAACAAACCATCCGAATCTCTGGAGATTCGCACACCGGAGATATCGGTACGCCTAATGTCGAACGAACGGTGACAGTGTTGTGAGTCTTGTTATCAGTAATATGGTATGACATGTGTGATCATCAGTCGTGTTACTACTTTGCTTTACTCAGCAACGTGTTATGGTGTGATGTGATGTTGTCTAATTGAAATGAAGCCATACGAGAGAAATATAACAATAAGCGAGCTGCAGATGTGGGTGGCGTAGAAGTGTTTGCCGCTGGCTGTGCTCTGAGGTGGCGAGCGTGCCGTGTGCGCTTCCCGCAGCACGTATAACGATCGTCCTCATCTGGGAGACGATTGCTCCTGGCAGTGTGCGTGCATCTCACGCATCCTCACGCCGTCCGCCAGGTGGTGTTTGAGCGCGAGGAGGACGACCAGAGGTTCCCCGTCGTGGCCATCCACTCGGCGCTGGAGCTGTCCCTGTGCGACTGGAGCCAGATGGCCTACCTGAAAGGTCGGTCCACTGGCCTGCTGGTCCGCACCGGCCCGAGTAGCGGGTGCCGCCGGCTGCCGCGGGTGACGGGCTGGCCTCGACGGGACGAGCGGCGGGACGGGCTGGCCTCGACGGGACGAGCGGCGGGACGGGCTGGCCTCGACGGGACGAGCGGCGGGACGGGCTGGCCTCGACGGGACGAGCGGCGGGACGGGCTGGCCTCGACCGGACGAGCGGCCGGTGCAGCAGCGCTTTACCGGGCGCGCGCTGCAGCTCATGGCGTAAGCGAAATTCTTGGGCTGTTTGAGGTGGACGGACTTGGTACAGTCGGCGCTGTAATGCAGATGCAGAAACATTGTCATGTCGGTGAGCGCGAGGAGGTCTGATTTTGTTTGTCATGGTTGGCTGAATAACGCTGAGATCCGCTGGGTTTGCCAATGCTTGAGAGTCGTAAACGTGGGGACCGCCCGGCGTCCGGCCTCCTGTTCGTGGGATTCAAAGCTGTGCTCTATTTTGGAAGACACCCTCAAATAACGCATGTTCTGTTTAAACACACGCACGCGAACAGTTTTTGGGCATGACTTAAAACGAATTTAAGTTTATTTCAATACATCCCGTAACCAAGTAGGAACACGGGATGGTTAGTAATCGGTCATAGCGTCTGGTGAAACATCGTTACTCCTTGTACGCCCCCGGCCTGAGGCCCCTGCCCGCTTCAAGCGTGGCTCTGCCGCGCCCCGGCGCCGCTGAAGCTCCACACGCCTCACTCGGCGCTTGGGGCGCACTAGATCGGCACACGGCCGTCTCCACTTCAGGGGAGCTGCACCTGCAGATGTCCTGCTTCAGTGACGACATCGGCGCCTGGGAACCCATCCTAGAGCCGGTGCTGCGGGCGGAGGAGGACTACCGACCGTACGAGGTCCTGTTCAAGGTAACCGCGACGCTCCGCGGCAACGCTCCGCGGCAACGCTCCGCGGCAACGCTCCGGCAACGCTCCGCTCGGTGAAGCACACCGGCGGGGCGCGATGTACTGCGACAGGGAACTGTAACCTAGTTGTCGCGTCTGCGTTTGCTCTCGCCTTTTCTTGTTTGTTCATGTTTGATCAGTACATGCCCGAGGTATAGTGCCATTGTCTATTCTCAGCGGATTTGAATCTGCCTCTCCAACACTGCAGGTAACTTCAGATGTCATTGGGCTGTTTTTGCAAATATGTTACTGGAACCAGCCCAACATGATTTTTGCACTGCTATTAGCCGCCACGTATCAATTGTTCAATCAGCCGCCGTCAATCCACCGTCCATCCACCGTCGATCTACCACCACTGATCCCTCAGACACCGCCTGCCCCTGCCGTGTTGGTGACACCCTGCCACTGACCGGCGTCCCCGTGCTGCTGCCAGGTGTTCCGGAGCGGCGCACACCCAATCTCGTGCGGCGCCTCCCTGCCGGAGGACCAGCCGGATCGCGGCGGCCCGTTGGCGCCGCCGTCGGCCGGCTCGGCCACCACAAGTACCGTCGACACGGACGAGGAGCAGGCGCACAGGATGCGCCGCATCAAGACGCCGCGCAAGTACACACGACGGAAACGCCGATCCAGTGAGCTGGCAGAGGGCGCAGGGTGGGGGTTGGGGGGTGGAGGGGGAGGGGGGCTGTAGAGGGAGGTGCGGGTCTGGAGCAAGGGGTGGTTGTTGTCGGGGCTGTGAGTGTGCCTTGGTATGCCAGGCTGATAATGCGTGCTCGGTCGTACGCGTCTTTGTTGTGCCGAGTGATTAGTTCCACTTTAGGGTTCTAGGTGGGTCATGGTTCTGGTATCGGTAAGTCCCGCTTATTGCTTCGGCCTCTTTGTCTCTCCATTCATCCATCCACGACAGTTTTCAGTCTCTGACTTGTGTCTGCTTCCAGAAGCGTCCAGTCACATCGTAGGTAGCATGATGACCACCGACTCCGACTCGGACGACGGCTTCATGGAGAAGATCGCTACTGCCTTCGGCCACCTCTTCTCCAGGTGCAGGCAACAGAACGGCACGGAATCGGCAGTGCGTGTCGACGTATGTGGGGATTTCGGACATTTTGGTTTTTATCGTTCTAATTATTGCTCGTCATCCTGTGCTGCCAATAACGCTTTTCACTTCGTGTTTGTGTTACAATTTAGTTAGTTTTGCATATACTGATTAGTGAACCTAGGTAAAAAGTGCGCTAAAAACTGACGGAAACATGCAAAACTTGCTCCTTTTTCATTATGTCGAACCCGGTCAAACTGTTAGAAGACTACACTTAAAACTCTTCCGTGAGAGATGCTGACTGTGGCTGCAGTGCTAACTGTGGCTGCAGTGCTGACTGGGGCTGCATTACTTGCTGTGGCTGCAGTGCTGACTGGAGCTGCAGTACTGGCTGTGGCTGCAGTGCTGACTGGCTGCAGTGCTGACTGGCTGCGGTGCTGACTGTGGGTGTAGTGATGTCTGTGGCTGTAGTGCTGACTGTGGCTGCAGTACTAACTGTGGCTGCAGTGCTGACTGGAGCTGCAGTGTTGACTGGAGCTACAGTACTTGCTGTGGCTGCAGTGTTGATTGTGGCTGCAGTGCCGACTGGAGCTGCAGTACTGGCTGTGGCTGCAGTGCTAACTGTGGCTGCAGTGCTGACTGGAGCTGCAGTACTGACTGTGGCTGCAGTACTGACTGGCTGCAGTGCTAACTGTGGCTGCAGTGCTGACTGGAGCTGCAGTACTGACTGTGACTGCTGTACTGGCTATGGCTGCAGTGCTAACTGTAGCTGCAGTGCTGACTGAAGCTGCAGTGCTGGCTGTGGCTGCAGTGCTGACTGTGGCTGTAGTGCTGACTGTGGTTGCAGTGCTGACTGTGGCTGCAGTGGTGGCTGGAGCTACAGTGCTGACTGTGGCTGCGGTACTGACTAGAGCTGTAGTGCTGATTGTGGCTGCAGTGCTGACTGTGACTGTACGTCGGCAGTGACAACGAGGAGGGCGTAGAGGACGGAGAGGAGGCGGAGGAGAGTGAGGCAGAGCCGCCCGCTGCTGACCCCAGGCCACCGGGTCAGACCGGCCAGGACATGCCGGACGGTGCGACCCGGCGTGCTGCATGATGTGGATTTGGAGAGGAATATAACTGGATTTTGTCTTATATGTGTATCAAGGTTGTGTTGTTTTGGTTACTTGCCCTTCGTTGGGCGACTGTCAACATCCCGCGCCATGCACACATGTTAGTTGAGCACATGTTGCACTGAGTTTCGTATGTGCGTGCCATCGCCTCTAGAAAATCCATAGCGCACATAACGATGAGCATGGTGACTTTTCGTCCCCCCGGAGGCAATTCTAAATCCACGCCCCATCTGCCCCAACGTCGTGACGGATGAGCTATGGCGGCTTCGCCACTCGCGGTGACTCGCCGTCCGCCGACACCACGGCTGGCTTTTCAGGCCCGGAGGTGATGGTGACGGCGTCAGTGGCACCGCCCGCCCAGCTGGCCACCTATGTGCTGATCGAGTCACGTGACCCGATGGATGTCACGCTAACGCCCCAGGCAGTTAACGTCACGCGGGAGGTGGGTGGGCTGTCGTGGGCGGAGCCGTTCACCTCCGACCACCGCTGTTTTGTGTCAACTCATCTTGTATGCCCTCTCAGTATGTCATCCGCAATTTCTGCCTATGTCGTATCCTGATTCTAGAGCGCACCCACTGTGCTTGGTTTTTGTTGGTTGACTTTGCAGCGTAACAATGGTCTTTGGTACCCGCTCCCTGCGGCTGTGCCCCGCCCGCTGCCGCAGCCGTCCGCTCACCAGCCGCGCGCTGCACCAGGTGGTGTCGTGGGTGACGGACGAACGGACCCGGGGGCCGGAGCCGCACCAGCAATCCTCCAAAAGGGGCCTCAGCGTCGACAACCGGCTGGGAGACGACTTCAAGGTCGTCGTGCTGGGCAGGGCGGAGGTACGACAGGTCGATCTAATGATCTTACACCAACAGCAGGCTGCCACTGTGATGTGCGCTGCTTTTGTTCCCGTCCAGTAATGTGGTGGGCTGCGTAGAGATTTGACAGAAAACGTACGTGCTTTTAAAGATAGTTTTTTGTATGGATGGCAACGTTCTGTCCATTTACGATCGTTTAGAAAAGGAAACGTCATTGCGCCACGGCCGTCGGGTGGTGTCACGTCAGCTCCTTGTCTACGCGACCGCGGCCGTTGGGTGGTGTCACGTCTGCTCCTTGTCTACGCCACCGCGGCCGTTGGGTGGTGTCGCGCCTGCTCCTTGTCTACGCCACCGCGGCCGTCGCAATAACTGCTGGCTGCTCTCCACGTGTGCTGGGCAGAAGCTGGGCGCCGAGAAGGTGCTGGCGGAGTGTATTTACGGCTACCAGGACGTCGTTCCCGGCTCTCCAGTACCGACCAGTCCCACCCAAGCGCTGAACCAGTGTCACAAGAGGTCAGTGACGGCGTACCAATTCGACGAGTGGCCGCTGTCGCTACTCATGTGGTCTACCGTCATAGCTTCGTGGGACACACGTAACAATCTCTGTTAGACATCACTTTGTGTGCGTATCTTGGCATAGTCGTGTCATCTTGGTGCGAGGAATTAGGTCAGGTTTTGCTGCAAGCGCTGCGTTTCTTAAAGTGCATTCCTCTCGTGTATCATAGGAGCATTATAGGCTTCGTTAATATGAATCGGTAATCGTTTTCCGGCACCGTGTTTGCGCGGCAGACTGAGTGCGGGCAGTGGCGGCAGCAAAGTGGAGGAGTTCATCGGCACCGTCCTAACGGCGGTCACCACGCCGCTACGGTTTGACGAGAGGACGCTGCCCGAGCTCTATCATCTGGCCATCCGACAGAAGATCAGAATAGAGGCGCCGGGTAAGGTAACCGTAGCAGTAATCAGACGGTGATGGCGTGCCGTGAGTTCTGACGCCGAAAGTGACCAACCTGCAGTCTCCCACCAAGTTCTGCTTGATCGGAGATATCGGACATCATTGGTATATACTATGGTAATGTTTACCGCCCCCAGACAGTGTCCATGGTTTCAAGTGGAGTAATAAATGGTTCGGGTGCCCCACTCCGGATGTTCTCTCCATTACCTTTCTAAAACGTCTGTTACACGCTCAGTAAATTGGTAATGCCACGTGGATTACAATGGTGAGCTGAAAAGAATCATAGCTTCAAGCGCGTTTGCCATCTTGCTCAAGTTAGCAAGTTCGCCAGCTTTAGTGGGTCGCCTGCAATGACAGACGCCTGGATTGTATTTCAGACAATCAATGAATCGGTGCACCTCCTGCCGCAATATATCTGTGGTAGCCTCTCCGATCCCGCCCCAGTCTGATGTGTCTCCCCCTCCCCGCGGCGGGAGGCTTCGAGCCTGCGCTGGCGCTGCTGCCGTCTCCCTGTGATAGCCTCTCCGACCCCTCCCCAGTCTGACATGGTTCCTCCCTCTCCCCGCGTCAACAGACTTCGAGCCGGCGCTGGCGCTGCTGCCGTCACGCTCGCTGCGCCGCCTGGTGTCGCTGCGGCGCCGCGCGGGCGACAAGGTGACGCCTTACCAGGCCGTGCTGGAGACGACGGCGCGCGGCGAGCACCGCGCTGTCCGGCTCACCTCACCGCTCCAGGTGAGTTGCGCGCTGTCCGGCTCACCTCACCGCTCCAGGTGAGTTTCAGGTCGTGGCAGCGTGGTGCACAGCCGATTTTGGTCTTAAGAGCACCAGCGTGTTGGCTTCGTTTGTTTGTCTTCGAGTGGCAGTGGTTTCCATAGTGAGGTCGAGCAATGGGATGAACAGTGGAGATTGTTGTATGTTGGAGAAGACATGAAAATTCATCAGTGAAGGTCAAGCGCCTCTTTAGCATGGCTTTTCTAGTACTCGATGTTGTTACTCGCTGGCACTGCCATACATCCCCTCCATTCAGCCGTCCGTCAAGGGGCGTGTTGACCTCTCCATGTCTGTATCGTGTTGTTCTGGCGGCACCGACAAACACCGCTAATGCCGCCGGCGTCGGCCAGGTGATAAACGGCCTATCGGCGCCCGTGTTGCTGCTGTACCACGAGGCAGAGCTGGCGGGCGCGCTGCAGGTCTCGCCTGCCGCCGAGGCGGCCAACCCGTTCGGCTCGCTACGTCAGGTAGCCGTGCTGAAGCCGGGCGAGGCGGCGGCTGTACCGCTATTGGTGGCCTACCACTGCCGCCTGCTGGTGCAGCCCGTCGGCACCAGGTGAGGCCCGGCGGTGCCAGTGCTGGTAGTGGCGCGGCTGGTGCTGGTGAGTTGGGCCGGCGGAGTGATGATGCCGTTGTTTTGTTTGTCAGTGGTGCTTCTTGTTGCGTGCATGGTCTGTATGCCAATGCGTGTGACGCGGAAGTGAGGACAAGTGTTTTGCCGCATGTGCGTGTAGCTAGGTCTAGGTCTCAGGTATAAGGGCATGCTCTGAAATTGACATTAACGCCGTCGAATGCCTAGGCGTTGCACTTCCGCATACAAACTTACGAACATTGTAACTTGTGCGCATGCTGCCATTACTACGAAATCCTTACGTGACGCATGAGGACACCAGCACCCTAATTCACAATGTCGGCACAACTGTTGTGTAACCCTCTACGCCGTACACTGCAAGTGTACATTCAGCTACGCTCATTTTAGCGTTCTTGACCGGTGGGTAACTTCACCTAAATGGTCTCTGAACTGCTCCAAGAACTCTTCGACCTTCATTGATTGAACGCCCACATGCTATTTGCCTCGCCTTTAATGCGAAACACGCGCATCTTGTCCTTTTTTCGGCTCTGGCTACCTGTCTTCTCTGTCAAGCGAGTTTGTGTTTGTATTTGGCAACGATTCATCTTATACTGATATTTGTTATTATTTTGCATAGTTTGAGCGCAATTAGATTTTCCGAGTTTGCTGATATGATAAGGTAACGATTTTGAATTTGCACCCGTCCGAATGTCAGCTTTTGAGGGCAGCTTGCTGCATTTTGTTGCTGTTACGTTTATAATATTATGGGAATTGTGTCATGGAAGATATATACGTTTGCTTTCGGTATTGATTACAATAATTGTTCTGATGCAGCCGGTGTTTGTGTTGTCAACACATCATGATGTCAACAAACGCTGAGATTAAGTGCAGAAGGTGCTATGTGTCTTGCATGTTTTCTTATTTTACCTGACGAATTTAAAGCCTGCTGACAGAGCTTCCTCCACGTCTCCGCCTGGACCGCTTTCGCATTCCTTCCCTTAGGCACGACGTGAGCAACGAGGCAATCTGGTGGAAGGAGATGGTCAAGAAGCCGGGACCGCACTTCATCCGCTGTGACCCCAGCTCCGGTCACGGCTACAAGGTGGTCGCCCAGGTGAGAGAAAGCGACCGCACTTGGCAAGAAGTCACGAGCGAGATTGGTATCGCCGGTCTACTCGAGTGGCGGCAGCTGGCACCAATGGTGATGCAGGCGTCACCAGGGGCAGGAGTGGAGCTGTGGATCTCCGGCTGGAACACAGCGCTCAGTGTTTCTGCCGCCTCTCGGCGAAACGCTTGCACTTCCAAAAACCGCTGACGGGCTATGAAAAATCGTTGCAAGCCCATGTGTTGTTTGACATTCGGTCCTTCGCTTTAAATGTGAACACATTTATGAGTCATAGTCACAGCCGTAGCCGTAGCTATCGCCCAGGAAGCTTGTGACCCCTCCGACCGTGACATGGCTATAGTCCTAAGTGTCATCTCCGCTCCGTTATAACTGGTGTGTATGAGAGTCGTCAGCTAGTGAACCGGGCTCGCAGCCAGCCCCCCCCCCCCGCCCCCGCCCCCGCCCCCGCCCCCGCCCCCCCTTCTGATCCGGCCTGCCCACGTCGTCAGGTGACAGTGGCGCGCGAGCCGCCGGACAGCCTGGCGGCCGGCTCGGAGGCGGCCGACGAGCGCGGCATGCCGGTCATGACGGTGCGTTTGCAGCCGGCCGTTATCGTGCACAACAACCTGCCGACGGCCGCGCTGGTGGGCGAGTACGGCGTGCCGGCCGGCGGCACCCTGCGGCTCACCTCGCTCGACCCCGCCACCAAGCAGGACGTCGCCGTACAGGTACGGGACAGCGGTGGGACGGGTAGGCGGGGACGCTGATGGTGCGGAAGGAGTACGGGGGTAGCGAAAATGGCGGGGACGGCGCGGCTGCGGATGGCTGCAAACGAGGCGGACGGCGCGGGCGCGCAGGGCGCTGGTTAGACGGGATGGACATGCTCGATGCTGATGGAGTGGGCAGTACGGGTGTGCAGATGTTAAAACGTCGCCGGATGATGCAGATACAGCGATGCTGATGGAGTGGGCAGTACGGGCGTGCAGATGTTAAAACGTCGCCGGATGATGCAGATACAGCGATGTTAAAACGTCGCCGGGTGATTCAGATACACCGATGTTAAAACGTCGCCAGATGATTCAGATACAGCGATGCAATCGGGACACTCGGTCCTGGCGCCGAGAATGCGATGGATACGCGACGGTCATGGTTTGCAACGACGCAAACACGGCAGATAGCAACATGTAGAAGGTTCGTGAGCAACGCCCTTGCAAGGCATTGGCATCACTGGTCCTCTGGTCGCCGTCAGCTGGCTGGGTATCGTGGCTCGCGCTGGTCAGGCCGTCTGGAGCTGTCTGCTGAGCTGCGCACCGGCGCCACCATAACGGTCGCCGCCGACCGGTCAGACCCATCTAGCGACAACGCCGGGAAGCTGACGTTAGAACTGCGTCGCCCGGAGCCGACCGTCATGGAGCTGTACCTGGGCGTGCCGTACTGGCTGGTGAACAAGACCGGCCTACCGCTCAGGGTCAAGGTCAGTGTCTAGCCTATCACAGGTCAGCAACGGACTTAGGCTGCCTTAATGCGCGTGCCAGTTTCGTGGCCAAGCACATCACTCTCTCAAGCTGATGATGGTGACAGGCCAGCTGGTATGAGCATACAGGATAGTGAGGCTACCTTAAAATGCGTCGGGTGAATGCCCTCGGCTTGTTATCTTTTCAAGTGTTCTGTGTATCTGTGCCCCTGTCCACCATCCATACTGCGCGCATCGGGTCTCAGTCGCCACCTGTCTGTCATGAGGCCAAGGCTTATCTGAGGATCTTTGCTTATCTGAGGCCGGCTGATTTCATCGGGCTCTCCGCCAAGCGCCTTTTCGTGATGCTCGGCTAAGCTCGTATGTTGTCAGGTATGATGATGACATCAGCGTTACGAGCAAACTGGTATGGTTTGAGGCGAGTGGCAGCGTTTTCTACTGTCACTGACTTGCCGCCATCGCGGTTGGTTTTGTGTCGCTATACCTTCCTTAACGGATGCGCAGACCGGTGCAATAGTCTTCGTGGCCCGGTGTGGTTCGATCTGTTCTGGTTCTTTGTGACCTGGCCCGGTGTGGTTCAATCTGTTCTGGTTCTTTGTAACCTGGCCCGGTGTGGTTCGATCTGTTCTGGTTCTTTGTGACCTGGCCCGGTGTGGTTTGATCTGTTCTGGTTCTTTGTGACCTGGCCCGGTGTGGTTCGATCTGTTCTGGTTCTTTGTGACCTGGCCCGGTGTGGTTCGATCTGTTCTGGTTCTTTGTGACCTGGCCCGATGTGGTTCGATCTGCTCTGGTTCTTTGTGACCTGGCCCGGTGTGGTTCGATCTGTTCTGGTTCTTTGTGACCTGGCCCGGTGTGGTTCGATCTGTTCTGGTTCTTTGTAACCTGGCCCGGTGTGGTTCGATCTGTTCTGGTTCTTTATGACCTGGCCCGGTGTGGTTTGATCTGTTCTGGTTCTTTGTGACCTGGCCCGGTGTGGTTCGATCTGTTCTGGTTCTTTGTGACCTGGCTCGGTGTGGTTCGATCTGTTCTGGTTCTTTATGACCTGGCCCGGTGTGGTTCAATCTGTTCTGGTTCTTTGTGACCTGGCCCGGTGTGGTTCGATCTGTTCTGGTTCTTTGTGACCTGGCCCGGTGTGGTTCGATCTGTTCCGGTTCTTTGTGACCTGGCCCCGTGTGGTCGGACCCCGTCCGGTCAGATTCCGCCTGATTTGGTCAGGGGTGATCGTGCCGGTGTTCGAGAGCGGACGTCTGGGGCCGGGGCAGCCCTGTCGTGAGGTGGGCGACGTAGCAGGGCCGGGCACCGCAGCGGCAACCTGGCACAGCTCTGACCCCGTCCACCACTCGCGCACGCCCTGACCCCCTCCAATGCTCGCACACGCCCTGACCCCTCCAACGCTCGCGCACGCCCTGCCCCCTCCATCGCTCGCGTACGCCCAGACCCCCTCGGCCACTCGCGCACCCTCTGACCCCTCCATCTCTCGCGCATGCCGCTGACGGTCGTGGCGCGCCGGTGCCGCCAGTGTTCGTCGTGCTCGTCTGCGCTGGAGTCGGTGCCGTCGGAGGAGCCAGTGCTGTTCCGGCCGCGCGGTTCCTCCAAGCTGCGCCTCAGCGTGCAGCAGTCGCCATGGAGCCCGCCGTTCAGCGTCAGCGCTGTGGAGACGGCCGGTCTTGTGGTCTGCCGCGACAAGGAGCGACACAAACGCTACAGGTCGGTGGCGGGAGCAGCTGCGCTCGCTGTAGTGGAGGAGAGGCGCGTGCGGTCACTGGTTTTTACCGGATTCCATGGACGCGGAGCAGAGTTCGGTACAAGCCGCCTGATAGATAGCCTTTAAAATGCAATCATTCAGTTTGTCTTATGCTATATAGTTTTTGTCGGTATAGAGGACGGATTCGGAGCATCCCAGAAAGAACGGAACAGACGTCATAACTCAGCGGTCAGAACAGTGCAAACAACCGGTGAGTGATGCCCTTCACGCCTGTCGGCAGAGTGTTGATGTCCGTGTCGCTGTCGCACCTTCTGCCGACCAAGATCATCACGTTCAAGCCGTACTTCATGCTGCAGAACAACAGCCGCCACCAGCTGATGTACATGGAAGAGGACGAATCGGCCGACCTCTGGCTGGACATGGCCCCACGCCAGGTAGGCCCGGGAGCGCCATCCGCAGGCATATCACAGCGAGCACCAGCATTGCGGTGCCTATGTTGCTTCGATAGAGCGCGTCTAGACATTCAAGAGGGCGTGTCTTGAAGGGTGCTGTAGGAACCGCTCACATGCGTCGTCATTGACAAGTTTGCGGGTCAATGACGTCACACTTGTTTGTATTCTGCGCGCCTCTGCAGGTGTCTGCGTTCTGGCCGGCCACCAACAGCCTCCGTCTGAGTATCAAGTACCGCGACTCGCGTGTAACGTCACAATGGTTCTCCATCATCACGCAGCACCAGACCACCCTGCGCATGGCGGGCGGCGTGAGTGACGCCATAGGAGTGACGTCAGAGACAGGGGGCCGCTGAAGTCACCTGTGTCTTTATGACCAGGGTTGTGAAATTTAAATGATTGCAGCAGGATGCTAGAATGTTCGATTGTGTTTTGGAGTTTCTCCCGAGGGTATGAATATACGGTTTAGTCATACTTTGTTTCCCACTCACTGGTATTGTCGGCATTTTTGCATACCATGCCCAAACGCCCTAAGGTGGGCAGGGTGGTGGTGGCGACGGTCATGTGTCACCTCTCGTGGCCGCCGTCCGTTCGGCATCAATGCGTGCTACCCTGCCGTCTCACGCTGGGCGTTTGATTCTCTGAGCGTCGGGTGTGTGAATACTCCACCGTAGCCTGTCGCGCAGTCGCCGCTCCCCCGCCCTCGCTGCGTGCTGTTCTGATCGATGTGGGGCCGGCCGGCCGACGCCAGTCGGCGCTGGTGGTGGAGGTGACCGGCGGTGTGGAGAGCCCGTTCCTGGTCAGCTTCGAGCCGTACTCGGCCGGCGACGCTCCCGTCCGACTGGAGAACCTCTGCGACGATCTCTTCCTCAAGTTCCACCAGAAGTCGTCCGGGCAGGTCAGCGTGCTGCTGTGGGCGGCCACTTGCCATCAGAGCCTCACGCGCCATGCCGTACCTGATGAAAGGGCCTGTAAGCGCTGTTGCCAGGGGCTACGGTTAATATGGCTTATGTTGGTATGACAATATCAATCGGAAGTAGTCGGGAAAGTTAGGGTGTACTGTCGAATGTGTTTACGAAATAAACTTTCACTCCCTTACACGGAATAGGTTGTATCTATCATCATCAAGATTGCCAGATCGCATACTTGGGTACACAATGACTGAGTAATTGGCACTTGGTTGTCTCTCACTGGGCCTGTCGTGGGTGCAGGTAATGCTGCTGGGCCCTTACCAGTCGATGCTGTACACGTGGGATGACCCGACGGCTGAGCGCCAGCTGCTGTGGAACGCCTACAACAGCAAGGCTGTCGACATGGCCGCTGTGATCGAGAAGGTCTGTATGCAGGTGGAGGAGCGCCGGGGAGGGCCGAGGGGCTTGACCGTTGTGCTGGCGTGATGACCTGTGCTTGTGCTGGCCTGATGTCTCGCGTGTGCCTGACAGGGATACCATGTAGTCTTCAGAGGAACCTGTAATGGTTAGAGATGGCCAATAAAGTATCGTCTATGAGAGAGAAGAAGGTCCACGCTTCCTAAGATCTCTTTGTATTCTCGCAAATGCAAATACCAATGTACGTTCGTCGGAGGCAGATGTGTGCCTGGATCCCAAAGGTGGATCCAGGATCCCATAGAGCCCTATGCTAATGGGACCCTGTGATCGGATCCTGAGATATTTGTTGAAATTCGAGGCACATTCTGGCTCCTGCTGGTTTCCTGGCTCGAAAATGGCAGTGCTCCACGGCGGCTGCTCGTGTCGGGTGTTCTGCCCACGTATAATGGTGCTCGGCTGGCCGCCTGCCGTTTGTGCCGCACTACGGACGCCTGTCACCTGGGTTTTGTACAGGACGGATTCGGCGAGGCGCCGCTGACCCTGCACACAGTGAAGGAGAGCCGACTGGCACGGCTTTCCTCCAGACTGCGCCGCTCGCTCAACAGCACGCCCCGCGCCTCGGTGGGCGGCGGCAGCAGCACCGACGACAGCGACACAGAGACCGGCGAGCAGGCGTCAGAGGTGGCCCACAGACAGGTGAGGCGGCAGCAGCACTGACGACAGCGACACGGGCACCAGCGAGCAGGCGTCAGAGGTGGCCCGAAGACAGGTGGGACTGCAGCAGCACTGACGACAGCGACACAGAGGCCGGCGATCAGGCGTCAGAGACGGCACACAGACAGGTGAGGCGACAGCAGCACCGGCGACAGCGACACAGAGACCAGCGAGCAGGCGTCAGAGGTGGCACATAGACAGGTGAGGCGGTGGTCGGGCCATACTATGGTGCAGCTGGGGTACCCTGTGTCGCAGTACGTTTACTCGACACCTTGCCACCACAGCTGCCTCTGCGACAGCCACCGGCATGCTGGCGTTGTCGGTCTTTTTGTTTGAACGTAATGCAGGTGCGAGTGTAAATGGGCTATTAATCCGTCGAGCAGATGGTTGTTCGCATGTAGAGAGAAAATGTGCCGATGCCTCCGTCGCTGCTGCCGTCCGCCGTTATCTCTCACGGACCCGCCCCTTCGCGCAGATGCTGCGTCCCCGCACGCGCCGGGACCGCACCACCGTCTTCTGGGTGAGCTACATGGTCGGCGCGCAGCGGGCGCTACTCTTTACCCAGGATGAGCGGCAGGCGGTGCGCGTGCGCCAGCGTGTCGACGGCGAGCGCGCACGACTCGAGCTGTTCCTCTCGCTGCGCGCCGCTGGACTGTCGCTGGTACGGTGGAGTAACGATCGCAGCGGAGTTAGGGGAACTAAGGGGTGACCAGGATCTGGCCGAGGTTGGCGTAACCTTGCTTGTGATATATGACCTTGCGTTGCTGCGGTGATCGTGTTACTGTTTCTGAGCTCTCCAAGTCAGCAGAGAGGGGACGTATGTTGTATTTCACTGCCGTAATGTTATGGCGTACGTGCTGACAAAGTTGTGTATCAATGGAAGCATCAGGCGTGTTTTCCTATGGCAGTGCTTTACGTCAATAGGTGGATTGCGCCGGTTGGTGACTCGTCCATGTCGTGACCGTAGACTTCCCCTCGCCCGTACTGTGACCTTCGCGTTATTACGACGTGCATCCGGACGGCGCGTTATTTATCCGATTGCTACGTAAGCCTTGACCCATGCTCAGACTGGCATATCACCTCCGACTCGTTTTCGTAGGTACTGCTCCTACTCTTACTTGACACGACCGTAGGGTGCTTTGTTCTTAGGCAACCCTTACGCAAGCCCTCGCCTTCAGGTGACCCCTGAACCCTGCCTTGACTGTCAGGCGACCCGTGACTCATGCTCCAACCATGAAGCGCCCTGACCTCACCACGACACCTTGCCCCTATCGTGACCTTGAGATGCCCCCCGACCGTGATCCGTGAAGTGAAGTGGAGTGAGGTGAAGCGAAGTGAAGTGGAGCTTGTCCGTGAAGTGTGCCGTGCCCGCCAGGTGACGGCCGGACGCCAGGAGCTGCTGTACGCCAGCATGCGCTCGGCGCCGGCTGCCTGGCACGTGTGCGTCCATGACAACTGGAAGCCGCTCAACCTGGAAATGAGTGCCTGGATCGAGGACAAACACAACAACGACATCGCCAGGGCCAACATGAAGGAGTACATCGAGGCAAGTTGGTGCCAGGGAGGTGCTAACGGTGACAGATACCTATTTGAAGGATTCTCTCAGCCTGTACAAATCGTTGATGTGTATAACTTTCTGACATGCTTTGGATATACCAAGATGGCCTCGATAAAGTCGCCGTCGTGGTCCACATGGCTGTTGCATTGCTCAGAGATACCTCAACGTCAGTAAAACTCCTTTATCCGGCCATTTTCCAAAGCCAAAACAAGTATCGACGCTTTGGTCGGCGTCCAGTGTCCGTTGTCAGTGTATGGGCTCCGTGGCCATGGCTTCCGGCGGTCGCCGCCAGGTGGACCTGGCCAAAATGCAGATGACGCGGCCGTTCTACGGCCGGCTGCGGCGCACGCAGCGGCCCGCCATCTGGGTCCACTACCGCCGCTCCGCCACGCTGCGCTATGTCCACTTCCGGCTGCACCGGCCGCAGGTACGGCTGCTGCCGCTGGTGGGGCCGGCGGCCGGTCAGACTGCGCCGGGGCCGGGCCGTATCGGTGAGCCGTGGTGTCAGGGTGGTCAAGTCAGGCTTTGTTGGTTGGATGTTTTGCCGTGCTGGTTCAGGTGTTGACAGGCGCTGCAATTCTCTTACCTCTTTTTAAGTAGATAATTTTCCTACAGTTCTTGTGGCGGTGCTTGTCTCAAGTGTAAATTTTGGATTTCATGATACTTTGATATTAGCAACATTTCCGACATTCCCGCTGATGAAATGTTGTGCTGACATGCTGCAACACTTATCGAGCACAACTCGGCAGGATGACTGTCTCACTGCCACCGTGCTACCGTGCTGACGAGTCGTGGTCCCCACCAGATCGACTGCCAGGTCCCGGGCTCTGTGTTCCCGGTGGTATTCCATCGCGTACCCCCTCCCGCTACCGTGCTGACGAGCCGTGGTCCTCACCAGATCGACTGCCAGATCCCGGGGTCTGTGTTCCCGGTGGTGCTGCACCGGGTGGCGCCGCCGTGGCGCGTGGCCGAGAAGCACGGCGTTGCGCCGTTCTTGGAGGCGTGCGCCCTGGTCAGGGACGGCTCGGAGGAGGTGCCACTCAACCTCAGGTCAGGGACGACTCGGAGGAGGTGCCACTCAACCCCAGGTCAGGGTCGGCTCGGAGGAGGTGCCACTCAACCTCAGGTCAAGGTCGGCTCAGAGGAGGTGCCACTCAACCTCAGGTCAGGGTCGGCTCGGAGGAGGTGTCACTCAACCTCAGGCCAGGGTCGGCTCGGAAGAGGTGCCCCAGGTCTCGCCAGGGATGTTGAACTCTCTAACTTTAGACCACGGATTGGCCAGGCGGTGTTTGTTGTCCACCAAGTTTCTCAAGTTGAGTCATGTAGATAGTGAACCAGGGGGCTCTCTCAAGTATAAGCGTTGACGTCATAGGGACTATCTGCACCAGCCTTATGCGAAACGCTGCGTGTCTCTGATGTGATAGGCACTTGAAGATCCTGGTGCAGGAGTTCTCTCTGGAACTCGACAAGGGCCTGCTGGTGTCGATGTTCGACCTGGTGGTGCCGCTGTTGCCGCCGCCCCCGACCAGCCAGATTGGACTGGTCCAGGACCTTTCGGCCGCCCACCAGCCGCTGGTCCCAACCAAGTCGCCGGTAGGTGGGCTGAGGTCACCGACATCTGGCGGTGGGCACGGCGTGGTGATTGTGTTACGTCGCATGTGAGCCGGTGACGTCATGTCTCGTCGACGCGTCCTCGCCAGTTCCAACTGCCATGTTGAGGAAATATGTTTCAAATATGCTAACAGGGCATCAATATTTTTGTTGAATGATTTTGACCGGTATGCATCAGTGGCGAATCCGTGCATATAGCGTCCCTCTAAGTCCCTCTAAATAATCCAACTGTATATTATACGGTTACATGCCGATGCTTCCGCTGTCTTTCACACATGAGAAGTGAGAATGACGGGTCCGCCGTGTGCTGTTGTCCAGCTCTCTTACGACATCCTTCTGCTCTCATCCTCCACCGACCCCGCCTGGTCGTCTGTTTCAGTCGCTGACGCGTCTGGAGCGGGCCATCATTGAGTTCGTGCACCTGTCGCCGCTTAAGTTGTCGTTTTCGTTCTCGCCGCGGGGGGCGCCGCTGGTGGGTGGGCCGCCACCTGACCAGGCCGCCTGGAAGCGGGACCTGCTCGGCTTCCTGGCTGAGAGCGTCGGCGCCCCGGTCACCGAGGTCACCGAGGCGGAGCTCAAGTGAGACGCCCGCCACAGCCGGTGCAAACAGGGAGCCCCGGCTGCGATGCGGGTGTGAGACGCTTTTGGATGTAAGCGAGCGCTCGAGCTGAATTCCTCAGATGATGGATGTACTTACCAGCTATAAGAGTCGGACTTGAGCTGTCCCATGCATATGCAGCAATGATGGCAACGTTCATTGTTTGGGGGATTGTGTGTTTTCTCCCCCTGATAATAACGTAGCACATTATCAGTATAGATATCATGCCGCGGAGTCCTCAGATGCGTCCGTATGCTGATCGTGTGCTGATGTATAATACCATGATGCGTTGCTGCGCCGTCGCCAGGCTAGGCTACTTCGAGCGTCGTGGCATCTCCCTCTCCCCGGCGGACCTCCTCTCGGAGGTGAAGAACCACTACAAGTACCAGCTGCTGCAGGAGGTTCGTCACGGCCAAGGCGTGTGGTCGTCCGTAAACGCGTAATCGAACAGAATTGACCGGACTTCCTACCTCATCTAAGTGGCGAGCGTAAATGTTTGCACAGTAAACGCATGGACAAGAGGGTCGAGCTCCACTTTGTTGTTGTAATCTCGTCGCATATAGCGGGTTTGGGGTAGGTCGTAACATTTGGGGTAACATGTGCTCGTGCCGATGATTTTTCACACCGTCTCGTTTCAGGTGTACGTCCTGATCCTGGGGCTAGATGTTCTGGGAAATCCGTACGGACTGATCAAGGACTTTGCCCAAGGCGTATCAGACTTCTTCTACGAGCCCTACCTGGTGGGTGCCCTTCGTCCTTGTCTGCACGATATCGCTAGGTGAATGTTGTTCCTTTGGGATTCGGGGTTCGATAATTTACTTTGTGCTGGCGGGCGGTTTATAGAGGGGTCAGAGGCGAGTTATTCCGTTTCAGGGGCATGCCTTTCTATGTACAGCAGGACATGTGTGCTGGCACCGGACTAGGTCTCCCATGCTGCGAGCGTTATGCACTCAAAAGACGTTTTCGCGTCTTGAATACCTTTTGTTCTTATCTTGTTTGTATCTGAGACAAAATCTCCCCGCACAAAACTTGTCAGGTATGGTCAAGCTCCACTCGGTATCCGGTCGTGCCTGGTTCTTCATACTTTTCTGGCTTGCCAACACCGCCGTACCGCTGTTATTCCACTCTCCACCGCCAGGGTGCCATGTCCGGTCCGGAGGAGTTCGCCGAAGGCGTGGCGCGTGGCGCTCAGAGCCTGTTCGGTCACGTGGTGGGCGGCGCCGCCACCTCCGTTTCTCTGCTGACAGAGTCGCTCGGCAACATGCTCTCCGTGCTCAGCTTCGACGAGGACTACAAACGGGTGAGACGTCTGCCGGGAGCCATACACGAATGGGAGGCGCGCTACGCGCGGTGGTGGGTCCGCGCCAGGGAACTACGAACTGGATGTGGGCGTGGGTGTGGGTGTGGGTGGGTGTGTTTTGTGTGTGGGTGTGTTAGCAACGCGGGGAGTGGGCAGGATAAGCACTGTAGGTGATTGGGGTTACAGCGAAGACACGAATGAAAAGTATCGCTGAAGGGCTGCAAGTGGATGAATGTGGAGGACGTGGCAGGACTAGATTACTTCGTTTACGCCCACAGCAGGCACGTGGTCCTGGTGTGTGTGTAGCTGGTCTGGCTGCGTGTAGCGGTTTTCACGTGTACTGTGTCGCCGCCCCCCCACCCCTCTGCGTCCGTCACAGCCTTCTGATGTCGCCCGCAGAAACGGAGGATCTGGATGAACCAGCGAGCTGGCCTGCCGGAAGCTCTGCTGGTGGCTGGCAGGACCTTCGTCATGGGCATCGTTCTGGGCCTGGCCGGGCTCGTCATGCACCCGTACAGAGGTTCGCGCGGGGTGGTAGACGGCGGTGGGTTGAGAGTGAGGCTGCGGTAAAAGGCGGTTTTTCTTAGGTGTTCTTCTCATTGATTGTCATTCTGGAGTGACTGGCGTCTTTCGATATTGTTGATGGGGGTAGGCCCGATTTTCGGCAGGCGTGTAGCAAATTGTCAGTTGACCATATCGGCTGACGATTAAGACAGTGGCTAATGTTTTGGTTTATCTGTACAGGTGTTGTCGCGATCTCAGTCCCATACTGAAGATCATACGAGTGTTGGCAAGGAGTGGGGCAAGCTACTTGTGCACCCGACTGGAGCTATCTCTCAGCCGACAGCCTGTATAACTCTTTCGTGTGATATCTTCGAAATCGTCCGTACCTCACCCATTTTGCCCCGCCCCATCGTCTGTCTTACCCCGCTTTGCCCAGCTTTGCTTCCTCGCAGCTCTCAGCTGACCTGACTTGACCTGACCTGACCCGCAGGTAGTCGTGACGGCGGCGTGGAGGGCTTCTTCTGCGGCGTGGGCCGTGGCCTGCTGGGCCTGCTGACCAAGCCGGCCGGCGGCGTGCTGGACATGGTGGCTATGGCCATGGACGGCGTGTCGCGCGCCGTCGAGCTCGGCGAGCAGGTCATCCGAGCCAGGCTGCCGCGCCACGTCAACCCCTACACGGTGCGGCCGCCTGTCGGACGGAGCTCGACCGCCGCCCGGTCACCGTGCACAACTGCATGTGGTGTGACGTGTGTCATTTGATTGTGCAGTGGTCAGTTGTCAGCTGATGAACGACGGCCATAGTGCTGCGACGTCGTTCTGGGGTCTAGGTCGTGGGTGGGATCGCGGCTTGTCGTTTATCGCCGTTATGATCCAGCCATTGCTCGCGTATCTATTAAGCATAGGCCGTGAACCAGTGGCACGCTGTTGACGCGCGCGCCGCTGATCAGGCTTGGCCACGGCCGTCTCGTCTGCGTCGCGTCTGTGGGGTGCCGCGGCCGCCGCCCCCACCATCCGGCCGGCCGGTTGTTTTTACCCCGTCTCCGCGGTCAGCCGGCGCGGTCGCCTGCCACCGCCCGCCGGCGCGGTCCACTGACCCCGTTCCGCGGCCCCACGCCGACCTGACCTGGCCTGACCTGGCGGCTGGCCTGGCAGGGCGTGCGGCCGTTCTCCCCGTACGCGGCGCGCGGTCAGTACCTGTTGGGCTCGGTGTGCGAAGGTCGGCTGGCCAGGACGGATGTATACCTGGCCCACGCGGCGCTCAGCGCCTCCGACAGGAGCGACATCTGCCTGGTCACGGACCGGTGAGGAGGCCGCCGCATCGGAGGGGGGGGGGGGGCTGTTGAGGGCGGCCGTCTGGAGAAAGCATGGTGTTGTCGATATGCAGTCACGCATGTGTACGTCCAGATCACGATGGCAGTAGAGTTTAGCGACGTCAGTAACCTCTACAGATACATATGGGCTAAGGGAATCATGTTGTGCATGTGCAATTCACAAACACTAAAATGTACAGTAATGCTGCAATTTCTAAACAGGCAGGTTTCGGCATGGTCAAATGTCAACAAAACGTACGTGCGTTTTTGTCATGGCGTTGTTAGCTAAAGAGCTCGAGCGGCTGGTGATCACCTGCTAACGTCCCGTCGGCAGACACGTTCTGCTGCTGCAGTCGAACCGACTGTGGGCCGGCTGGGACCTGGACTGGTCGGTGGAGGTGGCTGAACTGGACGGCGTGCCGCGCGTCGAGGACAACAAGCTCGTGCTCAAGCTCAGGAAGGTGGGTAGATGGGACGGTCGCCGACGGGGGGATCTTGTCTTCAGGTCGTTTCAGAGAGTTAAATGAATATTTGTGCCATTGCGAATATCTTTGCGGTGTGCTACTTGCCCTTCATTGTATATACATACTGTAGACCTGTCTTGCATATCCGTGAATGAGATGCCCGGAAGAAAGCATTTCCTTAGGGGTGTTCATGAGTCATAGTTTCAAGTATAGCCTTTGCGATTCGTGCTGAAAATGTGTATGTTGCATTATGAGCTGACCATATCGTGAATGGTAGCTTTTTTAGTCCTCCGTGATCTCCATTGCACGGGTAGACGACTGTCTGCCCCTGTCCTCTGCGCCTGGCCGCACGTCGTCCGGCGCTCTAGCTGTCGACGACGCCAGACGAACTCGTGCACGCTGTTTCAGAGTGACGGCCATGACTGGTTCCGGGTGGAGCGACGCGAGCTAGAGTCCGAGGACATCGAGCTGCTCCAGTGGCTGCAGAACAAGATCGAGCGCGCGCTAGTGCTCGGCATGTGGTAGCTCACTGGCGGTCCACCGCGCCGGAAGCAAGTCTGTCACCATCCCGCGGGTAATCGGGTTCTGTCCTCTTGTATGCCTTCTCTTCTGCGCCTCGCACACGCTCCTGTCCCCTCGACATGATGTCAATATCCTTCCAGGTTTTTCTCGTTTGCCTGTTTGGGCCAGTGATGAACATCGCATAGCGGTATCACGGACTGAGCATGCGACGAAATCACAGACGTTTGTGGTATGGCCAGCGAGCGAGTCGGGTGTTCTGGACGAGCCCGTCGTTGGCCGGATCAGCCGTGCGGTCTCCATGCCGGCCTGTGTGATCTCTGAGGGGCGTTTCGCGGCCTCCGGTACGGCCCATCCGGCGTGAACCGCAGTGTCGAGCGCGCTGGGTCTATGGTCGAAGTTACCTAGCACCGGATTTGGAGTCCGAAATCATCGGAACGCTGAAGTAGAAAGGGAGGGCTGGCACGAATGTTGTGTCGGCAGACGGGACATGATAATAAGCGGCCCTCTCACTGACGCTCTTGATATCGTCAGAGGGCGTCTGTGACGTCATGCCGTGGTCAGGCAGAGTGGTGCAGCCGGTAGGCTGTTTGTGCTGCATCGGCAGTGTTTATGCGTACAGACGTTTGTCATATGATACCGGTTTATTGGGGACATTTATCTGGGAGTCTATTTTTGCGGCGTCTTCGCCTTTCGTCGGAATGCTTGTGGATGCGTTATCATTGTGTTTCCGATTTGTCTTCGCGAAGGGTATGCTACTTTGTTCTCTCGGAAAAGCAGTGGGCCATGTATTGGACAGGTTTTACACCGTTTGCGAGCCATTTGTCGGCGTGAAGTTCGCGGCTGAACTCCCGGGCTAAGTGTGTATTCTATACCTTGCTGATCGGATGCGAGGCTTCATCGCAGTAATGCTGTGTGGGGGGGGGGGGGGGGGGGGATGGGAAGACGTGGCGTCCTGTGAGTGCGAATGCCCAGTGCTGGCGCGGCCGATAACGGCAGCGCCAGGGCGCGGCGGGCACACGGAAACCGCTCGTATCAGCCCCGTTCCACGGTGTATCTCAGTGTCTAGTCAGGCCTTGTCTGTGTTATCGCGGAGCGCAGCGGGAGCCGATCGCGCCCGGCCGCCGCGCCACCGGCCGCCGGCTAACCTCGACCGTGACGGCCCGGCCGCCGCGCCACCGGCCGCCGGCCAACCTCGACCGTGACGTCACGTCACCCTCGTCGACGTCACGGCGTCTGTGCTGGCCGTCCGTGACGACGATGGAGTTCATCAGTCGGGGAAAGCGCGATTACTGATCGGTTCCGTGTGAGACTTTGACGTCTGTCACGTGTCAGCCACTTAATCTGCGCAGTTGATCCTCTTGTCGCCATGCAACGATCGGCCTCCAGAGTGGGTTACAGTGGCTGGTGCCAATTTCCAGCCAGGTGTCATTTTGTCGTAAGTTGATTTTGTCATATCAATTTCCCGGATCTAACGCCCGCCCCGTCACTGGGCCTGCAATCCACACTTCCCTGATGGTGTGTCACGCACCGCTTTCAGCGCGTTTTTATCGCGGTGATTCTCTTCTAGGCGGTTTTTGTACCGGGGATTAATTGCATGAAAGCGATCAGCAGACATGAAATGACCAGATCTGTTCAGCTAGTTTTTGCAGTGGCATTGCCCTCGCCCGAACTGGAACGTCAGGTAGCTGTTCCGGGTGAGCACTTTTTTCTTCCGCCCTGGGATTAAGTCTTTACCGTCGGTGTTGACGATGGCTGGTCACATGCCGTTTGGCAGTTGTCACGTGACTCAGGACGGCGTAACGGGGAGCCGAGCGACTCTGGCAGGGCAAGTGAGGCGGCTTGGTACCAGCGCCGCGGCAGAGCACGCGCATCAGCCGGACGCTGTGTGGTCGGAGCTGGCCAGCCTCGGATCTGGCTTGTTTGCCGCGCTCGGCCACGTGGACGGGTTGGAGCTGTCGAAGAGCGATGTGGCTTGTGTTTGGTCTGTTTTTTGGTGGTGTGACGAACAGGGGTGGTACTGTGTTAACGCTGTAGTGTGCTGGGCCAAGTGTTCAGGAGTCTCTGTATCACTATACCGGGATTATTTGAAAAGTGTGGGGAGTGTCTGTCGATGTGACGAATATAGTATGCTCGGTTATCGTTTGTGGACCACACGCCGCATCCAGGTCTCAGACGATCGCAGCCGTTGAAAGTATGGCGTCTCATTCCGAACACTCATTTCCGAACACTTTCATCTCTGAACACTAAGCATCAGTGCACAGGCAAAATTAAAATCGGTTTGAAGTTTGTCGGTTTCCGCATTAACATTTTAAGGTTACAGGAGCACAACTCATTTTCAGATCGCAAACATGGCCGCATAATTGCCTACACAAATGAAAACTGCCCAGCCGCCATTCCTACCACGTTGTTCGACTACTAAGCGAGGAAAGAACGACGCGTTCCTATCCGGACTTCTCTGTCTGGCTGGACAAGATAAAGCATCACGTACTGAACAATGGTCCGGAACGGCTCTCCCAACCATCTCGGGAGCGTATCCACGGCTTCTAACGGCCGCCACAGAAGCACCTACGGCACTTTCACGTCGCGATAATGGCTTCTCAGCCCGTAACGCTGCGCAGCCGTACGCCGCCCCGTCTTCCCCCGCGAGCGGAACAGAAGCCGGGCTGGCGGGCGGGAGGTGTCGGTAGTGTCGGCACGCGCGAGGATTGCCGCTATCTCCTGATCAATACCACGCCGTTATCGACAATCGGGTCGACCGGCCGCCGCCTCCTTTGTATACCGTCAGTCCGGCGGTGGCCGTGCGGCGGCGGCGACGCAATAGAGATATCCGGCGCGACCTCGGTGCGCGCGGGGACTAATCCGCCCGGCCGATAGCTGTCTCGCCTCACGCGCTGGGTCGGGTCGGCCGCGGGGTCGGACCGCACCGCGCCGATCAGGCCCGCGGTCGTCTCACAGCGCGCTTGCGCCGCGCCGTCCGTTGGCCGGTCCGGCAGCCGCGCGTCGACTGAACGACGGCCAGCGGCGCAGGGAGGGGCGCCGCGTGCAGCAGCCGGCAGTCGGCTGCCGGGAGCGGCGTCCTCTGGGCGGCGGCCACGCTCCGCTGCTGGCGCGACGCACGCCGCCGCCGACCGGCGTCAGTCGCGTTTCCCGACAGCTGGCCTGCGAGCGAGTCGGACCAGCAGCGGCGAACGCGTCGGCAGTGGCAGCAAACAGGCCAACGCGGACGGGCGGCGCGCGGACCGAGCGTAGTGACGGAGCGCCAACGTTGCGCTTGGCGCACGGGGGGCCCGTGGCCCGACACGCCCAGCCGGCGGCCGGCGCACGCCGGAAGTGAGCTCCAGTGACGCGCCTACCGCGGCCATGGCGACGGACGCCGGCGCGCGCGCGCCGGTGCCGGCCTGGAAGCAGAAACTACTGGAGAAGCGAAGCGCCGCGGCGCGGTCGGGGGGCTCGGCGAGCACGCCAGCAGCCGGTGAGCGGCCCTTCAGACCGGTCCCCGGCGAGCGGCCGGCCGGCGGCTCCGGCTCCGGCCGACCGGCCCAGAGCCAGAGCCGCGCCGGTGCTGCGCCGGACTGGGCCGCCGAGAGCGGCAAGCGGCCCGGCGGCAGTTGGACAGGAGCCGCGACCGAGGGAGGGCACACCGATCGCTACATCACGGAGCGGGGCGCGATCCTGGGCATCGTGACTGGGCCGGGGCGTGACCGGAGTGGCGGCCAGTTCCGCACAGACTCCAGCGACGCATGGCGCAATAGGGAGCTCAAGATGGGCGTCAGCGTGGCCTGCACCAACATGGCGATGGCGACGAACCCGAGCCGGCTTGCGCACATGCGGCCCTACCGGCTGCTGAGACCGGCTGGTGGCGACAAGCCGCAGCCGGACGACTCGGACTCCAGCAGTGAGGAGCTGCGTTACGGACCCGGCATCGTGTCGCGGCTCAAGGACCGCTATATCTCCATCACGCTGCGCGAGTCGGTGGGCGTGCGGCGGCCGGCGCTGCGGCGCGTCACCAGCCTCGAGGACATGCTCGACCAGGAGGGCGCCTTCCAGAACGGCGACGTCACGGACAGCTTCATCCTGGATGGGCGCGGCCGCGGCCGGCCCGACTCGATGAAGCGGGCCAAGTCTGTGGGCGACCTGGCTTCCGGCCGGCCGGCGGCGGTCGCGCCGGATGGAAGCCGGCAGCTGCAGCGGCGCGACCGGAAGGAACAGCCGCCGGCGATAGCAACCGAAAAGATAGTCATCGTGGAGCAGACGCGGCCGCGGCCGCCGGCGCATCCCGTGCTGGTACCGCCGAGCGACAAAGCCGTGCAGACACCGGACCCGCCGCCCGCCGAGAAGGACGCACTGCCAGCGCCCGATACCGTACGCACCGTCAAGCGGATGTTCGAACCGTCCCCGCGGCGTGTGGGCACGCGCCCGGCCGGCGACGCCAAGGGTGCGGCGGGTCTGCGGACTGGCATGGACCGGCCGGGGCAGAGGGCCGCGCGACGAGCCTCCCCGGCCAGCCGACCGGCGTCGGCGGCGACCACACGCCTGGCGACGAAGACGGCTACCACCTCGTCGCTCAAGTCGTGTATCCGTGACAAGGCGACGACGACCGGTGCTGTGAGGAGCCCGGCACTGAAGCCGTTCGTGTCTGTTACGGCTCCGGCGGCACCCGCGACGCCCACCTCGCCTTGCAGTCCGCCGGTTCCACTGGGCGGCCGTCAGGTCTCGCCCGCGACAGCGCCGGCCGGCTCCGCAGGCGACCGGCACGACAAGCTCACCTCCTGGAGCCAGCTGCGCCAGGGCGGCTCGCAAGCGGATCACCCGGCCCCGGCCCCGACCCCGGCGCCGGCGCCGGCCGAGGCGACCTTGCCGTCCAGCCCGGCGCGGACCGCCGGCGGGGTCAAGAAGCCGCTGTCAAGGGAGTCGAGCCTGGAGCCGGCGTCGCCAACGTCGTCCCCGGTTCGGCGCCAGGTCGGCATCATCAAGCCCACCCGAAAGGTGGAACACCGCGACGAGTTCAACCGGCGCAAGAACGCACTCAACCACGTCAAGAACAGCGTGGTGGAGAAGGAGATCGCCGTGGTTGGCACTGAGTATCTCAAGAAGAAGGACTTGGAAGAGACGGCGTCGCTGAGCAAGCCCGCGCCTCCGCTGAACGGGACGAAGGAGCCGCCGGCGGCACGGGAGGATGTGCCGCCGCCGGCGCTGCCGCCACGCAAGGCCGTGCTGGAGCCGAAGGAGACCTTGCCGCTGACGGTGGATACGATGCCACCTCGGCCGGCACCCTTCCAGGGCATCATCCTGAAGCCGGTGCCGAAGGCCGACTTCTGTCGCCCGACCGAGCAGGCGGCGCCGGAGCCGGCGCCGGCGCCCAAGCTGACCCTGAGCTCCGCGCATGCGGCGAGGCCCGATCCTGCGGCAGTCTCGAAGCCGGTGCCGGCGGTGGTGACCCGATCCCAGCCGCCCCAGGCGCCGCCTCAGGCGCCGCCGGTGAACCGGCCGGCCGCCGCGCCGGTCAGCAAGCCCAAGTGGTACCAGGCGCCAGATAGCAGCATGGTGTTCAATTTTACGCGGCGACAGGAAGTGCCAGACTACGTCGAAGACGACGGCCTCATCCTGCGCCGCAAGCTGCCCAAGGTGAGTGACTACAGCCTCCGCCGGCTCCACCCTCGTGCTCGCTGCCCGGCCGGGCCGGGCCCGCGTCCGAGCAGCGGATTCGGTTCGATGGCAAGTCGCGCTGTTGGAAGTGGTGATCTGTGTGATCAGAGAGGTTGCTGAACGGATCTTCAGCGGGCGGAGGCATAAACTGTGGGCCGTCGGTCGAGCGGCCCCGCCCGCTGCTGTATTGACCCACACCAGCCTGCACATGTGAATCACCAGTCTGCTCGCGCCGGCCGGCGCCGGATATCCCGGACATTGCGCTTCGGGGACCGGCGACCCATTTCCAACCCAGTTCTTACAGGCGGAACAATGCGACCCGCTGCTTTTTCAATCGGATGACGAATCCAACACAGACGGACACAGCGCCACGTCGCTGTCGTCCACCGGCAGACCCTAATGAACCGGCTGCGCGCGCTCGCCCGCGCTGCCGACCGGCGCCGTTGTCATGTGTCCCGGTCCGGTCGGCTGGAACGACTCCGTTAAATTATGTGTTCATTCATCAGCACATGACAGCGCGCGTCGGACCGTAACCGGAATCAACGTCGCGGCGTGGCTAATCGCGGCTAAACAGGGCGACTCATGTGACTTCCCGGGAGACGGTAACGGCGCACAGCGCCTCACGCCCCGTTCAGCTTCAGCTGTGTGCAGAGCGACCGCTGCCTCGCGCATGATGTGCCTGCCGTAGCTGCCACTGCGTTGCGGTTGCGCGAAACCCGAGGCTGAGGCGGCGAAATCGTGTGGCGGTTCGTGCCGCGGAGGTCTTCCCCAGCCGACGGCGCCAGGCGCGGGTCACCTCGCCGGTGGCGGACCGCACGGAGGTCGCGTTGGGCAACTGACCAGGGCGTGACTCTCGTGTCCAGACAGTTTCACTTGTGCAACTTTGCGCCACGCGTTGGCTTTCCTCGGCGTTGTGAAATCATGCACTCTCGGATGTTTCGGTCGTGCAAGCCCGGGTGACATGCCAACGCCAAATAGCAAAGGGATATCTTCTTTGATAGTGGTTTCGTGCGGTTCTTCCCCGCCTAATGCACTTGTCAACAAATGTTTTACCGACAACCACGCGAGCTCAGACAAGTTCACTCCATGTCCACAAATGCGCATATCAACTACTTAACTGCGCATGCGCAAAAATTTATAAGCTTTAACAAATCCTGCGCCCATAGCAAGGTTCTGTCAACGCAACATTGATGCCGCCAGAGTAAGGCGGCCCAAGTTGTGCCGGACTGTAGCTTCAGCCAACTGTGTCCTATCTCGCGCCCTGGAGCAATGAGGCTCAATGCACAGGAGCCGGTCCAGTCGTGCCAATACCGCGCCTCGCTGAACTTTGAAGCATGAAAATGTCAATGACGCAATGCGTCCGGGTGCCGTGTATTTATCAGCACCATATCTGATAGTTCCAGTGCAAACAGGCCCTGTGAAACCTGTAAACCCCGGAGCTCGGTGTAAATAGCAAAACATCGCATCGGATCATGGCTGGAGCCTTCCGTGCCTCGTGGAGTTTCCCCAGGCACATACTTCATAACAGCGCCTTCCCAACGCAGTCGGAAAATTTCTGCCTCTCCACGTGATTGTGAAATGTTGCACACTATGCCCGTCATTGCGGTGTGCTGGTATTTAGTAGCGTTCGGCACCACACGCCGGTGAAAAAGTCCTCAGATTGCAACCAACTTTGCCTCACAATGCGGCGCAATAGGCGAGGTTCGCTCCCAGCATTGGACAGTGGTGTTCTCCCAGTACGACGCCACCGTGTGTCCGCGGTGAGCTGTCCAAGTCGGCATCGCCGCTCGCGTCGATCCAGACCTCCCCTTCCGTGACTTGAGCGCACGGGACCGCAGTGTGCATCCAATTACCTCGACCCGGCGGCACTTGCTGGTCGGGGCTGCGCTCGGCGGCGGCTCTCGGACCGTGTCGGATCTAACCCCGATCCTGGCCACGTTGCGGTCGCGGCCGTGCTCCCGCGCGTGCTGCCGCCGGCAGCGCTGGCGGGTAGTTTACCTCGCGCGGCGCCGGTAACGGTCGGTACGCGGCCCGGGTGGCACCTGCAGGTATCGTACTGCTGTCGCCACTCCGTTGCGGCGGCGGCGCGGTCACGGCCGGCGGTCGGGTTCGGACTGGCGCGGCCTGTCGCGGTGGGAGCGTGACGTGTCGTAGTTGTATCCTGGTTTTAGGCGCCTGGAGAAGCCAGCAGGACCCCATATTTAAGGCGCAAGCTGCCGTGGAACGGGTCGGCTGTTGGCGGTGGTGGAGAACTGGAGCGGTATGGAGACGGTCTGAGATCTCCTGTCATGACCTGAGGTCAAACCCACGCAACGGATGAGACACGACAGGCTGTAAGGCAGGCGTTGATGGAGTGACCTGAATGCAATGTTAGGAAAGAATCGCAAAGGGCAGGTCGTGTCGCAAGCTCTGCGTCTGCAACTTTTTTCATCTGTCCGAGAGTCCAAGAAGACGCTTGATCCATAACCTGACACGTAGACGGACCCAGCGGACACCTCGAGATCACGTGGCTAGAGCGTCCGCTTGGGTAGTCTTCCACCGACAGCGGGGAACACTAAAAGCCCGTTGAACTAATGACGACGGACATTATCCGCGTCTCCGTCGCCCCGCTATCCCAGGTCACCCACCGCGGATGCGGCGCTTTTCGCCGCGGTGCCCCGGCGTGCTGAGCGGGCGGAGGCGGTGACCGCTGCCGGGGCGTTGTCGCCGTGACCCAGCGGTGTGCCGCTTCCGCCAGCTGCTCTCGCCTCGCGCCGCAAGCATGCCAGCCCATTTTTGTTGTTGTTTGCCGGCGGCTAAGTGGAAGCGGAAGGAGGCCAGCGCCGCGCCGCGGAGGGCGCCTCGTGAACCCGCGGCGCGCGCCGCGGCGCATCAGCGCCCGCGTTTTCTCGCCGCCAACAGCTGGCGGAAGCGGCAGAAGACAACGGTGCGGCGTTACCTGGAGCACGCCCGCACCGTCCGTGACGACATTCCCGGCGACGGCGACACTGGCGGGCGTTCGTCGGTCGCGCGGCGGAGGCCGGGCGTTACGCGCTGGTCGGCGGCACGCGCGCTCCGGGGCCGCCGGTGGTGCAACCTCCACGGGTCTGTTGCGGGGTCGGTCGCGATAGTCGCGGGTGGGCGGGCGCCGGGGTCACGTTGCTCTGACGAGGTCAGTGTTCGGGGCTCGCCCTCGCCGCATCGGCGCCCGCCTGTCCACGAGCGGGCAGGCAGCAGCAAGCCGACCACCGTCACGCGGTCCCGTCACGTTCGCGGGGCATACAGATTTTCCGTTGATCTTTGAATGCGAGGAGGAATGTAGGGGATGTCCTAGAGCAGGACGGGGTTCATGGCCGTTAACTTGGTCACCGCGAAGATGGCTTCAAAACATTTTAGTTGCTCCGTCAAAACCTTTGGACCCTTCGCTTTCTCTATGTCGGCGTCCTGGCATTTAGTCATTGTAGGCTGCCCTAAGGTGGCCTTAAAAGCGTACCGTTGTAGGAGACACGTTTGTCCGAGTGCGTAACCCTTCATTTTCTCCAAGTGTCAAGTAGCCCGTGGCTGGGTTTGATTGGTCGACAAAACACACTTTTCACTGCATGATTGTGGTCCGGTTTTTCAGCTTGTTTTTGTTAGCAAGGGTATTTGTCCGATGGAAAGTTTTTTTCATGTTAATGGTAACTACATCGAATATATTAGAATGGACGCCCCAGAACAATGCAGGTCCAGTGACAATTCCGGTCAGCATTTTTACATGCCATCCGCCAGTTGCTTCTGAACCGTCTTGAGAGAACCGTGGACACAACATTCAGCACGACAAACAGCGACGTTCTCGCGACATTCTGTAAACACTCCCTCGCGACACTCGATTAACACCCGCAAGACGGATGCTATTTTGGGCGGAATCAGGTACGTGTTCACAAGCCTGAGCGTTCCCGGGCTCGGTGCCAGCATCGGCCTCGAAAACCCATGGAAAAAGGACCGGATTCCCCATATCACTGCCGGCTGAACCACTTCAGTACCGAAGCACCACAGCGTGCAATTCACGCGCGGTTCACGAACACTCCCTTGGATACTGTGTGCGACACTTCGATTACACGGTTGCTGCTGTTAGCTGTTAGCTGCTGTTAGCTGCAGCCGAACTCACCTTGCGGCGTCACGTTACCGAAATGCCGAGGATTCGCTATCGATTTCTGTTCGACTATCAGTCCTGTTTCGACCAGCGCCATATTTCTCTATCGATTGCGCGCGATCGTGTGTCGTCGAGCTTTCGTCGATTGCGCACGCCCTGGCTGAGTCCGACCTCGCCTCGTTACCGAACGGTGACGGCAGATGCCCGTCGCCGGGCGCCATGCGGCCGAACAGTTACCTCACGGGTGGCGGCGAAGGGCGCCGTTCGCCTGCCTTTCGCCGGCGGAGGAGTGCCCCGGGCGTCCCTGTTGTGCCGGCGGCGTCCTCCACGCAGACGGCAGCTGCCGGACAGGCGATGGCGTCCCGCACTGAGTAGATTGTGCTACGGTAGATGGCACGCTCGGCGTCGGATGGGGAGGGACGGCAGTGGCGGTGACTGGCGATCTGAGGACAGGAGACAGGCGATCTGGGGACGGGGAAGGGCAGGTCCTCAGAATGAAATGTGGCCGTTGTCAGGAAACAGTGGATCTGGGGACCGGAGATGGTGGCCGGGATAGTTGGAGATGAGGGCCCTCATACACGGCTGTAACGAGTGGATCTGGGGACCGGAGATGGTGGCCGGGATAGTTGGAGATGAGGGCCCTCATACACGGCTGTAACGAGTGGATCTGGGGACCGGAGATGGTGGCCGGGATAGTTGGAGATATGAGGGCCCTCATACACGGCTGTAACGAGTGGATCTGGGGACCGGAGATGGCGGCCGGGATAGTTGGAGATGAGGGCCCTCATACACGGCTGTAACGAGTGGATCTGGGGACCGGAGATGGTGGCCGGGATAGTTGGAGATGAGGGCCCTCATACACGGCTGT